AAAGGGAATCTATAAAAAAGCATTAGCTTAAAACATACATAATGGGGAAAAACGGAATGTTTTCCTTCTAAGATCGGGAACAAAGCTCTTACTACCTGTATTCCACATGGGCACTGGAAGGTCTTGGCCATGCAATAAGGCAAGAAAGAGAAACAAAAGGCATTTGGGTTGGAAAGAAAGACATCAAACTGTCTATTCACACAGGACCTCATCCTCCAAGTACAAAATATGATGGAATCTACAACAAAGCTACTGTGTGCCCTGGTTGGGTAGGTGAGTTGGTTAGAGCGTCATCTCGATACGCCAAGGTTGTGGGTTCAATCCCTGACCAGGACACATACAAGAAGCAACCAATGAATGCATAAATGAGTGGCAACAAATTCTCTCTCTCTCTTCCTTCCTCTCTCTCTCCCTCTGGAATTAATCAATCAATAAAAATACTAAAAAAGCGATTGTACTTTACTTCAAAGAAAACAACTGATAATATTTGTTGCCAATGACAAATTTGAGCTTTCAACTGTAAATTAGAATTTTGGAAAACTTTCGTCCACCACCACTAACTCTTTAGCTTCCTGTTATTTAAAGATTTTTGTGATGAGATTAGAGGTAATGTTAACAAATACATGATTATTTAATATTATATAATGAAGTATGTCAATATTTGGAAGGTCTGAAAAACTCAACAAAATAACATTTTCCAAATGACCAGTGCGCAATGTTATAGAATCATGCAGGGGTAAAGGATCCATCCCAAAGTAGAGGTAAAAAAAACAAAACCAACAATAGATTTTAATGTAACAGTATTAAAAGTTTTTTTGGTATAGTTTGAGATTCCATATTACAAATAACCTTTAAGGAACTGGAGTTTTTTGCACAGTATCAAAAAAATATAATGCATTCTCCTTTTCTAATCACCTATGTAGAAAGTTCAATTTTCTTCCTATTCTTCAACTAAATATATTGCAACAAAATAAATGCAGAATCCTGTCTACTATTAAGCCAGACATAATACGATTTTCAAAAATGTAAACCAATTCCATTCTTCTCACCACTTGTTTGAAAAATATAATCAGTTTTCTTGAAAAATATGGTAATTACGCAATGGTTTTACTGTTTTTAAATGAATTAATGAATGCTTTTTAAACTTCTCAGTTTAATTTCTAATATGGTGCCCTGGCTAGTATGGCTCAGAGATGAGAGCACTGGCCCATGGACCAAAGGGTTGTGGGTTCAAGTTCCGGTCAAGGGCACATATCTAGGCGTTGCAGGTTCAATCCCCGGCCATGGTCAGGGTCATGCAGGAAGCAACCAACTAATATGTCTCTCGATGTTTTTTTCTCTCTCCCTCCCTCCCTTACACTCTATCTAAAAAATAAAAAATAAATACATGAAAAATCAAAATAAAATTTCTAATGTAAATATCAGAAATATTAATAGCTATAACCAACACAAACAAAAGTTTTTTTGGGGTCCTCAATAATTTTTAAGAGTGTGAAGGGGTCTCGAGAGCAAAGAGTTTGAGAATCACTGTGTCAGGTGCTAGGACAGGTCTTTCAGTAAGCAAAAGGAGGTGGGCCCCCTGTCGGTAGAGGACGGACTATGGAGAGGAGCACACAGTCCCCCGCAGTAACAGGAAGCTAGAGCACGTGGCTACAGGTGCAGGCAGGGGAAAAGATAAGGTGGTAGGCGTCAAGAGGTATTTCAAGTAGCTCACTCCTAAGACAGTGTAGATGGTTCAAGGGCTATATTTTATTGTAATTTATTTATTTTTATTTTATTTTATTCCTCATCTGAGAATATTTTTCTTTTTATCTTCAGATAATGTGTGTAGGAGGGAGAGAGATGGAGAGAGAGAGAAACATCAACTGGTTGCCTCCCACATGACCCAGACCAGGACCGGGGACGAACCGCAACCAAGGTACATGCCCTTGATCAGAACCGAACCTAAGATTCATTAGTAAAAGGGCCGACACTCTAATCACTGAGCTAAACCGGCAGGGCTCAAGGGCTGTATTTTAGATACAACATACAGACGGCTCTTGAACCACCCATCACTCATCCCCTAAATCTTAGAAAGTATCATTAAAAATGACCAATGTCAAAAACAAAGGGTGTCCTGACTGCTGGTCAAGAAGGAAGCGTAGGTAAACGCGGTATCACCTCCTCCCACAACCACATCAAAATTACAACTAAACTACAGAACAACCATCATTCAGAACCACCTAAAATCGATCTGAATGCAAATCCTACAACTGAAATTAAAGAAGAAGCCACACAGAAACGGGTAGGGGGGGCAGACGGGCTGGTCCCACACCCACTTGTGGCGGATAAAAATCAGGAGATACCTTAGCGGGGAAGGTCCTCCCTGAGGAGGAAGAGGTCCCTGTCCCTCACAAGGAACCCAGCTCAGGGTTCCAGTGCCAGGAAGAGAAATCCCATAATGTCTGGTGGTAAAAACCAGCGGGAACTGAGGCTGAGGCTGCTGGGGCCCCAGGCAGGTCCTCTTAAAGGACCTACACACAGACTTACTCGCATGGTCGGTCTTGCACCACCCTCCAGGCTACAGTGTGGGGGAGGCAGCCTGAAAGGCACCAGAGACACACAGGGAAGAACTGAGATGTTTGGCATCAGGGCAAGAGCTGGAGAGGCAGCTTTCTCCAGATGTGCTGGCCAAGGCCATTGTTCCTTTGGTAAGCCCTTCCCCCATGGGCCCAGAATACAGACACTATATCTGGGACTCTAGCAACCTGGCTCACACTATTTGCCCCACCCTGGCGATTCCCCGAGGCCCTACCCATCTTCTGGGACCACCAAGCTGTTTCCAGGGGCTTTACCATAGGATGGGTCTACCTTGGCTTCAGATTTTCCTAAATTCTCTCAAACAAGCAGCATCTGGTCTCAGTGAGCCCCATACCTCTCACTAAGTGGCCCCAGGCCTGGCACTAGAAGCAGCCATCTGCAGATCTCTCTGTAGTTTATGCCAGGTAGCCCCGCGGAGAACACAGGCAGTGGCTGACCTTGTCCCAGAGCGGGCACACCCAGTGGCCATCTTCAGACCACGTTGAAGCACCACCACCCAACCACCTCCACAAGTGACACACTCATGGAGTATACTCGGTGGGTCCCAGAGCCCTGCCGAAGTAAGTCTTGCTCTGTGTGGTGGGCCCTGCACAGCTGATTCTCCAAGGCAGTCAGAGGTTGGTGGTCAGTGGGCACAGCCAGTTCTTGCAGCTGATCAGCCTGAGTAAATCCCTCCCACTGACATGCCAACAGCAATCAAGACTTAATTACAACAGAAGAGGGTACAGTTCACACGAGGTGCACCCCTCGTGGGCCAAGCTGGGGAGAACAGGGAGGCTGTGCCACTGGATCCTACAGGACACCTATTACAACAGGCCACCCTAGGAAGCCTAGGAGGCATAGTTACTCTACCTAATACATAGAATGAAACACAGGAAGGAAGCCAAAATGAGGAGACAAAGAAACAGGTCCCAAATGAAAGAACAGAACAAAACTCCAGGAAAAGAACTAAACAAAATGGAGATAAGGAACCTAACAGATGCAGAGTTCAAACCACTACTTATAATGATGCTCAATGAACTTAGTGAGTACATCAAGGAACTTAATGAGGACCTCACTCAAGAGCATAAAAAAGGACCAGTCAGAAATGAAGGATGCACTAACTGAAATAAAAAATAATTTACAGGGACTCAATAGTACAGTAGGTGAAGCCAAGTAGCAAACCAACAATTTGGAATATAAGGAAGCAAAACACACCCAATCAGAACAGCAAAAAGAAAAAAGAAGTAAAAAAAAATGAAGACAGTGTAAGGAGCCTCTGGGATAACTTCAAGCGTACCAACATTCACATCTTGAGGATGCCAGAAGAAGAGAGAACGCAAGAAATTGAAAACCTATTTGAAAAAATAATGACAGAAAACTTCCCTAACTTGTTGAAGGGAACAGACATACAAGTCTAGGAAGCACAGAGAGTCCCAAACAAGATGAACCCAAAGAGGCCCACACCAGGACACATCATAATCAAAATGCAAAAGGTTCAAGACAAAGAGAGAATCTTAAAAGCAGCAAGAGAAAAGCAGTTAGTTACCTACAAGGGAGTTCCCATGAGACTGTCAGCTGATTTCTCAACAGAAACTTGGCAGGCCAGAAGGGACTGGCAAGAAATATTTAAAGTTATGAAATGCAAGGACCTACAACCAAGATTACTCTATCCTGCAAAGTTACCATTTAGAATCAATGACCATATAAAGAGTTTCCCAGACAAAAAAAGCTAAAGGAGTTCATCACCACCAAACCAGTATTATATGAAATGTTGAAGGGTCTTCTTGAAGATGAAGAACAAAACTATGAACAATAAAATGGCAATAAATATATATCTATCAACAACTGAATCTACAAACAAAATGAACAAGTAGTACAGAAACAGAATCATAAATACAGAGAACTTTTTGATGGTTGCCAGATGGGAAGGGGGTTGGGGGAATGAGTGAAAAAGATGAAGAAATTAAGAAGTACAAATTGGTTGTTAGACTGACAAACCTCGAAGGGAAGCGTGGAGGGGGAAGAGATAAACCAAAGAACTTATATGCATATGGACACAGACAATAGTGTGGGGAAGGCAGGAGGGGTGCGGGAGTGGGGAGAAGGGGGTAAAGGGGGAAAAAAGGGAAGACATCTATAATACATTGAACAATAAAGATAAACTTAAAAAGGAAAAAAAAAACCAAGGGGTGTCCTATCTGGACCATCCGAGTTGTTTGTCCAGATCTTTTTAAGCTTTGCAAAGGAAAAAGGGAGGAAGAGTGTTCTGAGCATGAGAAATAGGACTTCAGGGCCTCGGAAACAGAACAAGCAAACTTCAAGTCATTAACCTTGTCTTTAGAGCAGAGAATGAAGCAGAGTATAAAGTGATTTATAGTTAGAGAAGGTTAGGGTCAGATGGAAGAAACAACAAAGATGTAGGAAATATTCAGACTTACCTGTCCACTCCATCCCAGCGATATCCAGGCCAGATATTGAATCTGTTGGGAGGAGGTGCAGGGCCACTATAGCGAGGTCTCGCTAGTGAGAAGAGACAGAAAACGAGTTAGTTATCTGTACAATTCAATTCAGGTAAATAGCAGCAGGGGAAAAATTTTATACAGAAATCTCTATGAAGTTGAACCTAAACTCCCAAATACAAGGAATCTAGATTGCATAGGAAAACCTTTGCACATATCTATGTATCATCACCCTAATGATTCTCTCTTCAAATAAATCACCTCCACCTCTGACAATTCCCACAGGCTCACCTTTCTCATTCTTGTTCTCCTTGGCCTTGTTCTTCTTGATGAAGTTGGCCATGGGGTCCCCCTCTCTTTCTTGTTCTCTCAGCATCCGATCCAGATCTTCGTCATCAATGTAGCGGGCCAGAGGCTTCTGCATTTCCTTTATTGCATCCTCCACATTTTGCTGCTGCTGCCGGCTCTGGACAAGCCTGGGGACAAGAACCAAGAGTGTCTGCTATATTGTTGAACTGTTCCACTCTTGCACTGACATGGACCACACCAACAGAGCCCCCTGTTTTTAGCAGCCTAGGCCAGGTATTGAAAAGGGTACAATTTCTAGAATAACAATGTGCCTCCTGCATGTCCCCAGTTGGGGATTGAGCCCCCAACCCCGGCATGTGTGCCCTGCCCAAGAACCAAATCGGCCAATTTTCAGCGCAAAGGACAATACCCGGCCAACTGAGCCACAGAGGCCAGGGTCTGAAAACAGCCTTAAGGCAGAACGTGAACTCGCCGTCGGAAGAGGAGAGAAATAACACCCTCCAATCTCAGTAGTCTTATTTTACCTGTCAGTGGTTCCCTTACCCTTTTCCCCACTGGGCATAGAGCTCGTCTCTCTCTGTGTTCTTCTCTGCTTTTCTCCTTTGCTCTAAACGTTCCAGTTTCAAATTCCTCTTACGACCAGACTTATCTCGAAATACGGTTTCAGCATACTGGAATTCAGCTGCAAAGGGAAATTATGCTTTTAAAGATAAACATCAGGTATCAAAATCAGAATATATATATATTTAAATATCTAAATGTATATATTTGAGAGAGAGAGGAAGGGAGAAAGAGCTAGAAACACAGATGTGTGAGAGATACATTGATTGGCTGCCTCCTGCACGCCTGCCACTGGGGACTGAGTCTGCAACCTGGGCACGTGCTCTGACCAGGAACTGCTCAGTCCATGGGATGACACTCAATCCACTGCACCACACCGGCTGGGACAGAAATAATATTTTAAAGTTCTAATCAACCACTTGGGGTTCTGATGCTAAATAAAAACTTCTGCAGCCGGACCACAAGTAGTTCCTTCTAATACCTAAGTGCCTATTGGTAATGATCCTGAAAACTATTATTTTTCAAGAAGGAAAAGAACCGCTTGGACCCACTGAGAAGTTACAATGATGCATAAAACCAGAGCTGAAACTTGACAGCAATAAAAGTTTAAAGTACCAGGTACAATACGCTACATTAAAAAGGAAAAGCTACGCGAGTCTCAGCTGTTTCTGCATTTTCACATCTTTACCTTCAAATGCCGCGGCTTCCTGGTCCCGTTTCTTGAGGTCCTGCTGCTCACGCTGTGTGTCAGGTAACACCAGCCCAGTTTTGGCCCCAGAATACATGTGTGCAGCCTACGCAATGGAAAAGGGAGCATCCAACGTTAGTGAGACACGGCGGCAGTAGGCTCCATGGGCATACAGAGTTACATGCATTTTGTCTGAAGATCAGCAATAACCAAACCAAAAACCCTAACTTTATATTCTTATTATCAGCTACAGGATTCACAAAACAGAGAAGAAATAAAATTGAATTGCATGAAAAATTAATACTATCAAGTTTAAGAGTAAACACAAACCAAGAAGATCTTAAAGAGAAGGCTAAGCCCTGGCTGGTGGTTAGAGCGTCAGCTCATGGACCAATGAGTGCAGGTTCGATTCCAGTCAAGGGCACGTACCTCAGTTACAATTCGCCCCTGGCCCTGGTCAGGGTCATGTGGGAGGCAACCAGTCGATGTGTCCCTCTCACATCCATGTTTCTCTCTCTCTCCCTCCTCCCCTCTTTCCCTCCCTCCCACTCTATCTGAAGATAAATAGAAAAATATCCTCAAGTGAGGATTTAAAAAAGAGAAGGCTAAGTATCTGTATTTCTGATTTTTCAGCATATAAATTGCATAACTCTTTCAGGCCACCTGACCAGAAACCTGTGTCGAGCTCTAAGCCCTCCAGTAGCGACTCACACTGATAAAATATTCCATTTAAATACCAACTCAAACCTAAGACCCTTAAATTGTGGATATCCTTCAGGATGATGAAAAGATATGACCAAATCAAAACTTTTTACCAAAGTCCACCTTGCATCAAGATAACAAATTAACCCCAAAATGGAACACACAGTATATCCTAATATCCCTAAGCCATGCGTCAAATTTGGCCAATATTAAAATTTCCAAGGACTAAACAGATACATAAAATGTCACGGAGTCCAGCTGAAACACAGCTCTCACTTTGTGACCCAGAAGAGAAGCCCACTTCCTGAGGTAGGGACAGGGAGTCTCCCTGCCAGGACCACGTGGGCGACAGGAGACTCGCCGGAAAAGGAAGATGTGCACGCCACGGGCTGCCACTGTTTCGGAACCAGCTCCTGTACCAGCACTGCTGTTCTTGACAACATACCTACTCAGGGTTCACGTGGAGTTTTTTTTCACTAACTCAGGCCTCATCACAGAGTTCAAATAAAACAATGACTTCCCAGGTGATATGATTTCTAAAAACAGTATTATATTTTAAGTGCTTTTCTTTAAGCTCCGGATACAGAAACCTGCACTCCAATTTATAATAATAAATTGCTTACTTTATTTTTTGATCCTCACCCAAGGATATTTTTCTATTTATCATCAGATACAGTGGGACAGTGGAAGAGAGAGGGAGAGAGGGTGAGGGAGAGAAACATCAGTGTGAGAGAGACACATCAACTGGCTGCCTCCCGCACGACCCGACCAGAGCCAGGGACGAACCACAACCAAGGTAGGTGTCTTTGACTGGAATCAAACCTGCGACTCATTGGTCTGCTGGCCAATGCTCTAACCACTGAGCAAACCCGCCAGGGCATAAATGCTTACTTTAAATACTTACTCTATCCCAGGCACCGTGCTAATACTTACACTAATTCATTTAATTCTCACAATAATCCTATGAAGTACATACTACTATCCACATTTCACCAGTGAAGAACCTGAGGCTTAGAGACAGTAGGTATCTTGCTCAAATCTCACAGTTAGGAAGTGGGAAAAGTAGGATCTGAATACATGATTTGTTTGTGATCCTAACTCCACTCTGTAAACTGCAGTTCTCAGTTTATCCCTAAGAAAACTGGAAGTTTTCCTAGACCTACTAAAATGAGATTTGTGGGATTAAGACGATATAAAGGCAGAAACTACGTAGGAACTCGGGTACGTGCAGGTGCACCTGGCTGGGCTACAGGCAGTCCTGCCTTCAGAGAGAAGGAAAGAGTACAGGAAAGAACCATGCTGGCCAGACCTGCTCCCCCTCCGCTGGCTGGCTCTCAGGACCTGTGCAGAGCTGGAGACAGTCCCTCTCAGAGAAAGACACAGCTCCTGAAAACCCCTACCTTCTTCCCCAGAGGCCGGGCCCTCCTTGGTGGAGAGAGGTCGGAATCAGAAGATCTGGCCCTCTGCTTCCTCCTTGGTGGAGAGAGGTCGGAATCAGGGCTCTGGTGCCGAGGTCTGTTCCGTGGAGGTGACAGATCAGAATCAGAATCCTGGTGCCTTGAACTCCGCTTATTCCGTGGAGGTGACAGATCTGAATCAGAGGCTTTCTGACTGTCACCTGGGTAAGAAGAAGAGTCCAACATGTGACTCTGATGTCTTCTAGGTGAAGAGCTTGTATGATATTTCCTATGGCTGGGTGAAGAGCCTAGAAATTAAAGAAAAAAGGCTTTAATCCACGTCAGAATCTTAAAAAGGAACTTACCGCGTTAACGTGCAACATTCATTTAGTCCTCCTGCATCACTAACCTAACACAAGTACAGATGACATCAGAGAAGAGCAAAGTCAGAGACAATTTTTAAATACACAGGATGTGGGGTTCTGTTCCCAAGTTATGAGTGACTATGATTTGTGTGTGAGAGCTCAGATCTTCACCTGTCGTAATCACCCACACACAGAAGGGTAAGATAACCGGCACTCAGACCCCAGTGCTGTGGTGAAACGAGACTCCTGGGATACACCCTCGTCCTCAGACTGAAGGACAACTGTGCGCGCTCCCTGCAGAGAACACGCCGTGCATTCCCTCCCCCTCTCTCCCCCAAGGCACTGACCTCCTAGACTCCAAGGGACCCAGGAGACCTGCAACCAGGAGCGCCACAGGCAGTGGCAGCTCGTCCCAGGCCAAGCCCCTGGACCTGTCTCCAAGGCCCCCTTTCCTCTGACTTCCCGGTGAGCCAAGGGAGCCCAGCCCAGGCTCTCCTGCTATTTATCCTACGGCCTTCCTAGTTTCACTGTCCTAAATGTGTTTTTGCTGTGGCCAATAAATTCTTGCTTGCTTTTCTAAAAAAAAAAGATAACAATATATTTAATTTAAAAATTAACACAGTAACTAGGGACAAAAGATGGAGTAAAATATTTACCACATAGGCCTGAATTATAGATATAAGCATCACAAATTACCTCCCAATAAAACAACTGGCAATATGTATCAATGACACTAAAGCACATAACCTCTAGACCTGGCCAGATTGGCTCAGCGGTTAGAGCATCAGCCTGCAGACCAAAGAGTTGCGGGTTCGATTTTGGTCAAGGACACGTAGCTTGGTTGCAGTTTGATCTCTGGCTCTGGTCAGGTCATGCAGGAGGCAACCAGTCGATGTGTCCCTTTCACATCGATGTTTCTCTCTCTCCCCTCTTCCCTCCTTCCTTCCCTCCCATTCTATCTGAAGATAAATAGAAAAATATCCTCAGGTGAGGATTAAAAAAAAAGTAAAACACACAATCTCTAACCTGGTAAATCAATTTCTACTTAGTTTCCTAAGAAATATATCTAGAAATATTTAATTTCCAGGAAATGTATCTAGAACCAGAGAAGGAAATAATCCAAAATGGGCACAGTTTACATACACAGATGTTCATTGTACAATTATGAAAGCAAAATTTAGAAATAATATAAAATATGCAGCATTAGGAAATTTACGTAGTACACCACCAATAAAAATTGTATTGACAAAGAAATGCTTTCATGACATCTAGTGGTAAGTGGAAGCCCCAGGCAAAGCGATGCACGCAGCACACACCGTGCACAGAGAGGCTCACAGCGTCAGAGATAACAGAGCCCTGGCGGGGGCTCCGTGGGCTGGTGTGGCCCTGCGCGCCCAAAGGCTGTCGTTTGATTCTCAGGGCACAAGCTGAGGTTGCGGCTTGATTCCCAGTGGGAGGGCGTGCAGGAGGCAGCCGATCAATGCTTCACTCTCACATCGATGTTTCTCTCTCTCTCCCTTTCCCTTCCTCTCTAAAAATCAATAAAAAAATCTTTTGAAAAAATGAACAGAGAAAAGACTAAAAGAACACTGGCTACAACACTAACAGTGATTGCCTTTGAATGACAAAGTCTGACCTTGTTCTGCTTCTTTATGTATTTCTAGGCATTCTGAAGCTTCCACAACAAACATATAGCACTTTTATGTGGGTGGGGAGAATAAATAAATAGGTACATAAAACTTCTTCTCTCCCACTGCAAATATTTAACTCTCTTCAGCCCAACCTCTCACCATTTCCCTACAATGTTTTTTTTCTTTTTTTTATCCTCTCCCAAGGACATTTTTCCATTTTTGTTCAGATAGAGTGAGAGGAAGAGAGAGAGAGAGAGAAACATCGACGTGAAAGGGACACATCGAGTGGCTGCCACCCACATGACCCAACCAGAGCCAGGGACAAACTACAACCAAGGTACGTGCCCTTAGCGGGAACCGAACCTGGGTCTCTCTGGACCGCAGGCAGACGCTCTAACCGCTGAGCCAAACCGGCCAGGGCTCCCTACAATTTTTAAAGCTTCCCCAAAAAGCCCTGGCCAGTTTGGCTCAGCGGTTAGAGCGTTGGCCTGTGGAATAAAGTCACGGGTTCGATTCCCAGTCAAGGGCACATACCTCTGTTGCAGGTTTAATCCCTAGTCCTAACTGGGGGTCTTGCAAGAGGCAACCAATCGCTGTTTCTCTCTCCCTCCCTCCCACTCTATCTAAAAATCAATGGAAAAATATCCTTGGGTGAGAATTAAAAAAAAAAACTCTCCGAAGTTTTTCTAAAGACATTCTCATTTCTAAAGACATGAATACCTAACACAGCAAGTAGAACCCTAGAACAGAGCACCTAGAGAACAAGTCCCCCACACAAACGATCAAGGCTCACCTTTAGAGTCATGCTGTCTACCTCCAGAATGGGACTTTGCTTGCTCTCTTCGTGGAGGAGAGAGGTCCGAGTCATATTCATACTTGCTATTCTTCGGGAATGAGGGATGAGAAGGTCCTGGCTCCTTCCAATGTGGAGTTTTGTGAGAGGGTCTCTCTGGGCCTTTACTGCTTTTGGTTCTGGGCAATGAATCAGGGGAGTCGTGACGGGCCCTCCTGAGATGCGATGTGTCCAAGGAGTCAAGAGTCCTTCTAGGTTGAGATGTGTCAGGGGAGCTACTACGGACCCTTCTATAGGGAGAGATATCCGAGGAACTGTGATGGCCCCTCCTAGGAGGAGATGGGTCTGGTGTGTCATGACGAGCTCTCCTAGGAGATGCACCTGAAAGACGATGCTTCCTGAGAGGAGAGGGATCCGATGAATTATGATGGGCCCTCCTAGGTGGAGAAAGATCCGGAGAGTCGTGTCGAACCCTCCTAGGCGGGGAAGGATCCGGGGAGTCATGACGGACCCTCCTCAGTGGAGAAGGATCTGGGGTGTCGTGACGGACCCTCCGAGGAGGAGAAGGATCCGGGGAATCATGACGGACCCTCCGAGGAGGAGAAGGATCCGGGGAATCATGACGAACCCTCCGAGGAGGAGAAGGATCTGGGGAGTCATGACGAACCCTCCGAGGAGGAGAAGGATCTGGGGAATCAAGATGGAAATGTCTGTGCGAAGATAGATCCTCATTGTGGCCTAAACACAAACAGCAAAGAGTTAGATTCCCACAAGTGCTGTATTCACCACCAGTACCCGGTTTCAAAGGATGCCCCAGCAGCATGCATCTCAAAACTACTTGGAAAGCCCAAAACTACTGTGCACAGCTCCCCTGTGTAGTGGCAGCAAAAAAGTCTCTTTTGCCCTGGCCAGTTTTGCTCAGCGGTTAGAGCGTCGGCCCACAGACCAGAGAGTCCCGGGTTTGGTTCCCACCAAGGGCACGTACCTCGGTTGCAGTTTGTCCTGGATCCTGGTTGGGGTTATGTGGGTGGCAAACACTCGATGTGTCTCTCTCACATTGATGTTTCTCTCTCTCTCTCTTCCTTCCTCTCTCCCTCTTGCTCTATCTCAGGATAAATGCAAAAATGTCCTCAGGTAAGGATTAAAAAAATCTCTTTTATTTGCCTAACAAGTCATAAATCTCAAAGCATTTTAACTTCATTTTCATATTATACCTTGTAAGGCAAGCAGGGCGGTCACCTTGCTTTACAGTCATGGAAAGTGAGGCTCCAGGGAGCTGAATGGTTTCCTACCTAAGATCACAGCTCCAAGATGAAGAGACAGACTAGAACCCCAGTCTTCTAACTCTTAACCCAGTGCTTTTCCCAAAACCTTATTTGTGCAGAGTTCCTAGTCAGAGGCTCCTATGAAATTTAGCCTAGAAAATTTAGCGTGTACTCCCTCTTCTTTCAAAGGACATACAGACTTAAACCTGTGCCACACCAAAATGAATGGTGTCCATGCCGCTGTGCTCCACGGGGGGATCAGCAGAAAAATATAATCAGCATTACTGATCACCCACTACATGCCAATGTTTTTTTGTTTGTTTGTTTGTTTTTATCCTCACCAGAGGACATTTTTTCATTTATCTTCAGAAAGAATGGGAGGGAGGGGGGGGAGAGAGAGAAACATCAACGTGAGAGAGACACATCAACTGGTTGCCACCCACACGACCCCAACTGGGGCAGGGACAAACTGCAACCAAGGTACATGCCCTTAATGAGAACCAAACCCGGGGCTCTCTGGTCTGCAGGCCAACGCTCTAAACGCTGAGCCACACCGGCCAGGGCAGCATGCCAAAGTTTTATATAGAGCACCTCATTTAGTTCTCAAAGCCCAGGAGATAAATATTATCCCCATTATATAGATAAGTTGACACTCAAAAAGATTAAGTATCCCTGGCCGATTTGGCTCAGCGGTTAGAGCATCGGGCTGCAGTACAGAGAGACCCGGGTTCAGTTCCTGCTAAAGGCACGTATCTCGTTTGCAGTTTGTCCTCAGCCCAGGTTGGATCGTGTGGGTGGCAGCCACTCAATGTGTCCCTTTCACATCGATGTTTCTCTCTCTCCCTCCCACTCTATCTGAACAAAAAAAATGAAAAAATGTCGAGTGAGGATAAAAAAAAAAAAATTAAGTAATTTGCCAAAGTCATACTGCTAATAAGTGGTAGAGTGAATATCTAAAGCCAGATCTGTCTGACTCCAAAGTCCACGTGCAATCTTTAAAACTACGCAGCTGAGCCCTGGCCGGTTTGGCTCAGCGGTTAGAGCATCTGCCTGCGGTCCGGAGAAACCCGGGTTCGGTTCCCGCTAAGGGCATGTACATCGGTTGCAGTTTGTCCCCGGCCCTGGTTGGTTGTGCGGGTGGCAGCCACTCGATGTGTCCCTTTCACATCGATGTTTCCCTCTCTCTCTCTTCCTCTCTCTCCCTCCCACTCTGTCTGTACAAAAAATGGAAAAATGTCCTCGGATGAGGATTAAAAAAAAAAAACAAAATTACGCAGCTGAACATTCTAAGAGGCCAGGGTGGCAGAAGCAGAGCGTGGGAGGGGAAAAGCAGGAAATGAGATCATAGGTAACAGGATACCCAACTGTAAGCAGGGACTCAGGGCACTGTGAGGACTTAGTGAGAGGGCAAGCCATTGGTAGGTATTGAGTAAAGAAGTAAGATGATTTGACTTCTATTTTTAAAGAATCACTTTAGCTTCTGTTTTGAGAACTGACTATAGGGGAGCAAGAGGGAGATGACTCAGGAGGCTGCTAGAATCCTCCAAGTGAGAGACAGTGGTGAGTGGCTTGGGCACAGGGTAAGCAGGGGGCGCAGTGTCTGCATGTACTCAGATAAGATGGTGCACAGGATCTGATGACTTGATTGATACAGGGTGTGAGAAAAAGAAGAGAGTTAGGGGGACTCCAAAATTTTGGCCTAAGCCATTTAGAGAACAGAGTTGCTATTTACTGAAATGGGAAAGAATGGGAAAATATCAATTTAATTTTGGAGATGTTAAGTTTGAAATGCCTATTAAATTAACACATGGAAATATCATGAAGGCAGATATATGAGTCAAATTCAGAATAAAGGCTCAGGCTGGATATGTAAATTTAGGGGGCATCACCACATAGAAAGTATTTAAGGCCATGAGACCATCTAGATATTCAGTGCAGACAGACGCTGCAGAGAGGTGCCCGAGGGCCCTGCGCAGTGCATACAGACACTGCAGAGAGGTGCCCGAGGGCCCTGCGCAGTGCAGACAGACGCTGCAGAGAGGTGCCCGAGGGCCCTGCGCAGTAGACAGACGCTGCAGAGAGGTGCCCGAGGGCCCTGCGCAGTGCAGACAGACGCTGCAGAGAGGTGCCCAAAGGCCCTGCGCAGTGCATACAGACACTGCAGAGAGGTGCCCGAGGGCCCTGCGCAGTGCAGACAGACGCTGCAGAGAGGTGCCCGAGGGCCCTGCGCAGTAGACAGACGCTGCAGAGAGGTGCCCGAGGGCCCTGCGCAGTGCAGACAGACGCTGCAGAGAGGTGCCCGAGGGCCCTGCGCAGTAGACAGACGCTGCAGAGAGGTGCCCGAGGGCCCTGCGCAGTGCAGACAGACGCTGCAGAGAGGTGCCCGAGGGCCCTGCGCAGTGCAGACAGACGCTGCAGAGAGGTGCCCGAGGGCCCTGCGCAGTGCAGACAGACACTGCAGAGAGGTGCCCGAGGGCCCTGCGCAGTGCAGACAGACGCTGCAGAGAGGTGCCCGAGGGCCCTGCGCAGTAGACAGATGCTGCAGAGAGGTGCCCGAAGGCCCTGCGCAGTGCATACAGACGCTGCAGAGAGGTGCCCGAGGGCCCTGCGCAGTAGACAGATGCTGCAGAGAGGTGCCCGAAGGCCCTGCGCAGTGCATACAGACGCTGCAGAGAGGTGCCCGAGGGCCCTGCGCAGTAGACAGATGCTGCAGAGAGGTGCCCGAAGGCCCTGCGCAGTGCATACAGACGCTGCAGAGAGGTGCCCGAGGGCCCTGCGCAGTGCAGACAGACGCTGTAGAGAGGTGCCCGAAGGCCCTGCGCAGTGCAGACAGACGCTGCAGAGAGGTGCCCGAGGGCCCTGCGCAGTGCAGACAGACACTGCAGAGAGGTGCCCGAGGGCCCTGCGCAGTGCATACAGACGCTGCAGAGAGGTGCCCGAGGGCCCTGCGCAGTGCAGACAGACGCTGCAGAGAGGTGCCCGAGGGCCCTGCGCAGTGCAGACAGACACTGCAGAGAGGTGCCCGAGGGCCCTGCGCAGTGCAGACAGACGCTGCAGAGAGGTGCCCGAGGGCCCTGCGCAGTGCAGACAGACGCTGCAGAGAGGTGCCCGAGGGCCCTGCGCAGTGCAGACAGACGCTGCAGAGAGGTGCCCGAGGGCCCTGCGCAGTGCAGACAGACGCTGCAGAGAGGTGCCCGAGGGCCCTGCGCAGTGCATACAGACGCTGCAGAGAGGTGCCCGAGGGCCCTGCGCAGTAGACAGACGCTGCAGAGAGGTGCCCGAGGGCCCTGCGCAGTGCAGACAGACGCTGCAGAGAGGTGCCCGAGGGCCCTGCGCAGTGCAGACAGACACTGCAGAGAGGTGCCCGAGGGCCCTGCGCAGTGCAGACAGACGCTGCAGAGAGGTGCCCGAGGGCCCTGCGCAGTAGACAGACGCTGCAGAGAGGTGCCCGAGGGCCCTGCGCAGTAGACAGATGCTGCAGAGAGGTGCCCGAGGGCCCTGCGCAGTGCAGACAGACGCTGTAGAGAGGTGCCCAAAGGCCCTGCGCAGTAGACAGATGCTGCAGAGAGGTGCCCGAGGGCCCTGCGCAGTAGACAGATGCTGCAGAGAGGTGCCCGAGGGCCCTGCGCAGTGCAGACAGACGCTGCAGTGGTGCCTGAGGACCCTGAGCACTAAGCATGTAGGGACGGAGATGGCACTGAACCAAGGAGACAGAAAGAGCGGCCGCTGACACAGGAGGAACTGGGAGAGGAAATCAGGAAGAGAACCAGGTCAGCCGCCAAGGGCGACAGCTGGCCGTTGGCTGCCACATGGGCAGTGAGGGTGAGAGCCTGATGGTCCCATCAGGTGCCAGAAGAATGGTGACAACAGAAGTGGAGAGGGGGGACAGGTCATTTGGGAGAGGAATTTGGTTTTAAGAGTAGGGAACATTAAAGTCGTATGATACTTCAAGGCCAAGAGAGAATTTTCAAATTATTTCATCCATAAATATAGTATTTCTAAAAGTTAAAATTCTTTTTCACAAATATAACCTCGACACCACCATCTCGCCTAGAAATGCAGGGTGGTTCTAGAAGACTCACAGTCCTGGCGATCTCCAGAGCTCCCTAATTATCTCACTTATTTCTGCTTCCAGATTTATTGAGATAGAATTCAAATACCATACAATCCACTCACTTAAAGTATATAACTTAATACATTTCTAGTATCATCAAAAAAATGTAGCTGAGGAAAGAGTTTGAACTTCTATTTCAAAGTCACAGCAGAAAAATGTTTGCAGTAACTTAGGGTCCTTCCAAAACCCAGTCCCTCCTCTCCCTCTGGTTAACACTGAGCGCCATGCCCAAGCACAAGTAAGAGCTGGGCAGGGCGCAGTGAAGACTTGTGAAATGGATGAATTACACCAATTCCACCCCTTTACTTTGGGAAATGGGCCTACCTGATTAGAACCCGCCCCCCAGAGAACAGTACTGATCTCTGTGGGAGGCCTGACAGTGAATCTCATCCACAAAGCTGGTAAGTGCCCTGATCTTTATTTAAAAGAAAGTAAGGTCCCTGGCTGGTTGGGCTCAGTGGTTGGAGAGTCAGTCCATGGGTTCAATTCCGGTCAAGGTCACGTCCCTCATTTTCAGATGGGTCCCTGGCCCTGGTCAGGGTCGAGTGGGAGGCAACCAATCGATGTGTCTCTCTCGCGTCGATGTCTCTCTCTTTCTCTCTCTCCCTCCCACTCTGTCTGAAAAAATAAAAATGAAAAAATATCCTCGGGCGAGGATTAAAAAAAAAAGTAAGGGTTGGAAATCAGTGAGGAAATACGTGCTTGTGTGACTTCCTAGCCTACAGATACGGAAATCAAGAGACTGTCTCTGAAAAAAGGATTATGGAAAAGTCTGAAACACTACTATAGGATAAGGCAGAAAATAAGGATTTAAAACAGTCTAACCACTATGTTGTACACCTGAAATTAATATTGAATGTCAACTGTAATTGAAAATTGTTTTTTAATTTAAAGAGAACAGGATCCTGATAAAATACTAATGTTTTCATTCATAAAACATAAAAATAATGCACTGAAAATTACCTGGAAATGGTGATCACTAACCTAGAGCCAGCTGTCACTTTGTTTTCCAATTCTAACCCGAGGACATTTTTTCCACTGATTTTTAGAGAGTGGAAGGGGGAGGTGAGAGAGGGAGACAGAAACATCGATGTGAGAACGACACATCAATTGATTGCCCCTCACACATGCCCCAACCAGGGGCCAAGGATCAAACCTGCACACCAGATACATGCCCTTGACCAGGAATCGAACCTGAGACCCTTCAGTGCACAGGTCAGTGATCTAACCACTGATCCACACCAACTAAGGCACCCATTGCCACTTTGGCTATGAATTTTTTTTCTAATCAGAATTACAGGATCATCAACCTAAAAGGCACAGACTATACATTACACAGAAAGAACAAATCCTGTTTAGGAGTTAAGGCTTCAATCCTCCGTGTGTGAAAAAGGAATGAGTATCAAGTGTAAACTGGAGTTAAACGACTATCAGCCAGCAAGACCCTTATTCATGAAGGAATGAACACAGGAAATAAACAACCGGCACACTTTCAGTGCCCACAGGAGCCTGCATGACTGCTGGACCAGGGCTGGGACTCTCTGGGACTAAGTATTTCTGAGTCTGTGTCCCTTAGTAGGTAGACCTATCTACCAAGTTGTTGGGAAAGCAGAAATGACTTCTAAGACTCAAGTAATGATTTACCAAGGAGCAGGAGGCTACAAGAATCTAATAACTTTGAGCATTTCAACAAATATTTATTAGTGACACCTCCTTATACCAGGCTGGGGGAATATCAAGGTAAATAAGGCTGGGGCTCTATGCACAACCAATGGACACCGACAATAGTGTGGGGAAGGAAGGAGGGGGTAGGAATGGGGAGAAAGGGGTCAATGGGGAAAAAAAAGAGAAACATCTGTAATACATTCAACAATAAAGATGAGTTTAAAAAAAAAAGACTTGGGCTCCTCTCTGCTCAGACATGACAGACAAAAGCCCTTTGTCCAACTTGAGAACTCAAAGATTTTTTTAAAATAAGGAATGAAATTATTGGCCTAAGGAGACAGTGTAGAATGGGCATGAGAAGGTTAATACACTGTAAAATACCAATATTTAAGGAAGAACAAACACAGATTTACCAACACAAATACAAAAGACAGAAAACAATGGTCCTTGACCCACAGATGAGTGCTTCATTCTGAGAGGACAAAAGTTGTTCAGTCTCCAAACTCTGTTCCTCGGATGCTTGTAAACTCCTCCCCAGTCCTGCCTGTGTATTAAGTGCTCACCTATTCTGGGCCAGAGAAGGATGGGTACCAAAAGTTCCCAAAATAACCTCGGTAAGCCTAATACCAAAATTTAAGAAAAAGTGGGCCACCTAGTCTCTCAGTTCCCATATCTTACTACCTCTGAATAAGGTCTGAATTTCTATTTCATACTATATTTTTCAGGATCAATGACACACTATGCATTCCTCTAAAAAAAAAAAAAAGTTTAGAAAAGAAAGAAAGGCTTCCCCTGTAAACAGGACATTGAGATCTATCCGTCGTTGGAACTCACCTCCCAAAAGCTTCCATTTGGCACTGGAACGAAAGGTTTCCATCTGCTTGACCTCTTCGGGTCGCTCATCCACAAACTCAGCCACCTGTGGCAGTGAGGACACCAGACTGAGGAAATCCACAGGATCCAGCCAAGGAGCACGGTTCTAAGAACCTGGAGTTATAACCATTCCCATTCCTAATACACATGGCACACACAGACCCAACACAGCCACGAAGAAACATGTAGTGGTCCTCAGTCATGTGTGCTCCATAAATATCTGATTGTCACTGGATGGTTTAATTCTAGATCTTTCTCTGACTAATCAATTTCCCTCCAAGGTTAATCAACTTGCCGGGGACACAACTGCCACTTGTAAGACAAAAGCCAAATTTCTTCTACCGTTTTATTTTTACCTGTTTATTTTCATTCTATTGCATTCGGAGTGAAAACAGACAGGCTCCTTGCCATGCCTACCAGTCATCAGGGCTTCAGGTCCCTTATGACCCTTTCTTGTTATGGGTAAGTCACAATGACAGGTACTCTTGAATCCAGCCAAAAGGAGTCAGTAAGATGTACAAGAATCATAGAATCTTTAGGAGAGAAAACCACATCTCATATCATCCAAACTCCCGAACAAATGTGGAATCTTCTTTATAGTATCCTTGGTAAATGATACCCAGTCCCTCCCTGTCAGGGAGTCAATTCACTAACAGGGAACTCATTATGTTACAAGGTGGTCCACTACATTTTCGGGGCAGTGCTTGAAAGTTCTTAGTTTTATCAGACTGTTATCCACCTTCCTATAACTTCTTTCCATGGACCCTAGTTCTGACCAGTGACAACTAATCCTCTTTCCATACAACAGGCTTTCAAAGATGGCTGGCACAATACATTCTCGTTACAGAGTAGCAACGATGTGCAAGGCACTGTGTTTTGTACTTTTACTATCTCACTCAATGCTCAATGACCCTGAAAAGAAAGGGTCTACACTACTCAAGAGCAACTATGACTCAGAGAAGTTAAGTAACTTTCTCAATGTCACAAGCTAGTAAGTGGCAGGACTAGAATTCAAACCCAGGTCATAACTCCTCTCTACTTCTCTTCTCCAAGATCCGATCATCATTCCTCATGTAACCTAGATTGGAGACCTCTCACTAAAAGCACAGGCGTTCAAGCAAGATGAACTGAGACCTCAATCTCCAGCTCTGCCGGTTGGTATTCACATAACCTTTGGCAAGTTATTTTCTCTAAGCCTCAAGTGCTCCATTTGTAAAAAGAGGTTCCAAAGGATTGCGATGAGGACCCGACGAGACAGGTCATGTGAGCTGAGTGGTGCTTGTACACGGGAAACACTCAATCAATTATACCTATCATTCCTGTGCTGCGACTGCTATTGTGGTTGTCCTGGTTACTGTGCCAGGATTACTGGAGGTGGCAATGGTGTTTACAGTAACAAAAATGAATTCAATAACCAAGATCTGTTTTAAACAGTACAGAGAGCTAAAGCCTTCTTTGTTTTGGTTTTGGGACAATCATAGGAGCAAATGACAATATTCTAAAGGAAAATTAATAGAGGACCACATAAAAATTATAACTTTTAAATGTCAAAACTATTATAAATGAAAAGACAAATGATAACATATACCTGACATGTAAAACAGATAATATATTCTTATTATATAAATATCAAATAAACCAATAAAAACAATTAAAATCCCAACTGTCTAAAAAATGGACAAAATACTAAGAAATTCACAAAACAGAAATGCCTGACAAACATATGAAAAATTATTCATTTCACTGTTTCTCAAGGAAGCTGGAACCACTGTTCAGCTGCCACGCTGGCACAGGCTGCACGGCGTGCTGGGTCAGCAGTGCTGAGCACTGCCGAGGGAACGGAGGGCTGGCGTCACACGCCTCTAGTGCGAGTGGGGACTGGGCCACCTTTGGAGAGCAATATGGGACTACAGCTCAAATGGACCATAATTTCACCGCATGGGAATGAAGAAACAATGGATTCCTACAGTGATTTATGTGTAAGATGTTTATCAAAGCTTTATGATATTTTAAGACAGGAAACAACCCCTATGTCCAGTAATAGAACATTTAAAAATAATATGTATACTGAACTACTATGCACCATTAACAACCCCATTCTCAAAGAATATTTTAAAGTCTTACTAAAGTATTCACAATATATTTTAAGTGAAAGAGCAGGCTCAAAAACCACATGTACAGTATGATCCCAATTATAGTTGAAAGAAAATAAAAGTATGTATAATCTATGAATTAAAGAGATAGCCATCCAAATGTTAGAAGTTGTAACCTCTAGGTAGTCACAGTAATAGTGATTTTTATACTTTTTAAAACTTTAAAGTTTCTTAAAATTCCCAAATATTTTATAACAAGTATATATTGCTTTATTTTATTTTTCTTTCTTGATTTTAGAGAGAGGAGGAGAGAGAAACAGAAACATCGATGAGAGAGAACATCAACTGGCCGCCTCCTGCATGCCCCCCTCCCCCACTGGGGATCGGGCCCACAACCTGGGCATGTGCCCTGAATGGGAATTGAACCAGTGACCTCTTAGTGCATGGGTCGACGCTTAACTGCTGAGCCACACCAGCTGGGCTATATTACTTTTATAAAATAAAAACAAATGTTGTAAACATTAATTGGGTTTAAGTGATTGATTATAACTGAAAGTAATTGGTTCCTTATGATCACTCTTTCCCTTCTAATTTCCCTTCTAACAAATCATCTTTTAAATTAATCTACTGTAGAATATGCTGGGAATTAACATTAAACATGCTCATGTAGAATTCACCTTTACCACTTTACCATGAAAGAGCCTATCGACAGCTCTCCTTCTCAGCTTTCTCAGTCACTCAGCATAGTCACTCAGCATAGGCTCCAACACCGGTGCGAGGTCATCTGCCTGTGCTACTGCCCACCTGGCTCTTACTCAACCTTCAAAACTCTTGTCAAATATTCACATCCGTCATGGCATTTCCCAGTGGGATAAAGAGTGTGCTACTGCCTGGCCGGTGTAGCTCAGTGGTTGAGTGTCGACCCAGGCACCAAGCGGTCGCCGGTTCGATTCCCGGTCAGGGCACATGCCCAGGTTGTGGGCCCAATCCTCAGTGAGGGGCATGCAGGAGGCGGCCCATAGATGTTCTCTCTCATCGATGGTTCTATCTCTCTCTCCCTCTCCCTTCTTCTCTCTCTAAAACCAATAAAGGGAAAAAAAAGTGTGCTACTCCCCCTGTGCTCTCATAGCATCTGGCGCCTATGTGACACCGCTCCACATTCGTCACTCTACTGCCCTCTAGAGTGCAGACACCATGTTCTACTGACCTACATATCTCCAGCGTTTACACTAGAGTACACAAAGTTTAAAGTTTAGTTGAATCAATGAATAAAAGAAACAAAGAGAAAGTTCCCTACGACTGAACCTGAACATTGTTTTTAAGGTTAATTCCAACAAATTGAACCTGGCAAATTCGAATCATAGTTCTATCACTGATGTTGAGGAGGCCTGCCTATTTTGAGTTTGATGGGCCCCTCTATAAACAAGGAAGATAGAGGATACGCATCATCACAGACTATTTTAAAAGAGCTCTTTGGAAGTATTCTCTGCCCAACTTTCCCAGTCACACATCTGCCCTGCACTGGGAGTCAAGACTGAAAGGCCTGATTTTCAAAGTCCTTACAGCCTCAGAAAAGACATACCACAGGCAAATCTCCATCATCTTCCTCTTCCTCCTTTTCCGGTTTAGTGGTGGAGATAGATGTCCAGCTCACATCATCATCCACAATCCGCATTCTAAAGGTGGCGGTGGGGGGATAAAAAAGGAGAAACATTCTCAGATAGCAGCGTATAAACACGTATCTATTGATTTTAGGATAAAGCTCAAAATCCTACAAGACCCTACATGGTCTACCATCTGTTTTCACATGCTCAGCTCCTTCCCTCTGCCTAACCAACTCTTCTCATTCTTTACTGGGAAACTCTTACTCATTCGTAAGATCCTGGCATATACATATATATAACTTCCTTGACCATACCTCCCTAACTACTCTCCCTTAACTGCCCTATCTAAGAACCCCTGTTACACATTCTTGGAACACTTTGATTGCATTTATCACAATGGAAAGAAATCAGTTAGCTGCATACTTAGTTGTTTAAAGCCTGCATCCCCACTAAACTATAAGCTCCATCAGAACAGGGACTATGACTCTCATTCAGAGAGGCATTCTCAGCACCCTGCAGTAACCGGCATAAGCGTTCAATAAATGTTTGTTACACAGAGAAGCGATGAATGACTGAAAACAACAATGACTGCCATGCCGTGAACAGTTATTATCTGAACAGCCAAGACCACTTTATACATCTCCAATCACAAAAACAGGTGTCTAATATAAGTGACATCGTCCGATATTGCTCGCATTTCAAAGACAAGGAAACGAAGGCTAAGAGAGATGGACTATCGTGGCCAAAGCCACACAGCGCATAAAGCTTTCTAGGGCAAACTGGGTGGCTTCAAACAACAGAAACATCCTCTCTCGCAGTTCTGGAGGCTGGAGCCTGAAATCACAAGGTATGTGCAAGGCCCCGCCGGCTCCAGGGGAGGATCTTCCCCGCCTCCTCCAGCTTCGGGCAGCCCGGGCACGCCTGGGCTAAAGACAGCCCGTCCGAGCTCGGCCTGCCCCTCCGCACGGCCGTCTTCCCTCTATGCCTGCTTCTGCGTCCCAATTTCTCTCTCCTCTTATTTGTTTATTTTCTTATTGCTTTTTTGAGAGAGAGGAAGGGAGAGGCAGAGATGGAAACATCGATGAGCGAGAACGTCGACTGGCCGCCGCCTGCGCGCCCCCACTAGGCATCAGGCCACAGCCTGGGCAGGTGCCCTGGCGGAATCGAACCGGCGACCCTGGTGCCCGGAGCCACACCGGCGGACCCAATTCCGCTCCTCCGAGGACCGCCACCGGGACGCGGCGCCCACCCCAACCCACCAGGCCCCCACGCGCACTGCGCGGGGCAGCGTCAGGCTCGAGGAGCGCGCCCCCGTCCGGAGCGGCGCCGGGCGCGGGCAAGGGCGGCGCGCGGGCTGCTGCTCGGTCAGCGGCGGCCGGAGGCACCGGAAGTGCACGGGTCTCTGGCTCGCGCCGCGTCCTCGGGCTGGAGGAGCCCCGCCGGCAGGTGCTGAGCCACGGCCCACGCACAGCGGCTCTGGCCCGGCTGCAGCATTTCTCCCGGGGCCAGCACGGCCTCCGCGGGAGCGGCAGGAGGTCCGGGGGTGACAGCGGGCCTGGGCGGACAGGGCGGGGCGCCGCGCGCGGCGGCTTGGGGCCCGGGCTCCGGCAGGCTCCCGGCAGGCTCCGGCAGCACGGCGAGGCCGGGCCGGGCCGGGCGGAAGGGCCGGCCGCCGTGGGAGCGGGAGCGGTGAGGGGCGGGGAGCCCGCCAGGACCAACTCACCCCTTGCCGCCGGCACCGCCGGGCTTGGGCCGCTTTTTGCGACGCTTGGCCACGGACTCGGAACCCCCGGGGGCGCCCGCATCTGCCCGGGACAAGTAGCGCTTCAGGTACTCGGCCTTGGAGAGCGGCGGAGCCGCCGCCATGGCAGCGGCGAGGGCGGGCCGACGGCTCGGCGCGGGGGACAAACCTCCCGGACGCAGCAGGGCGGGGGGCGGGGCCGGAAGTGGGCGCCGTGGGCCCGCGGCCGGCTTCCGGAAGGTGCGGGCCCGGCCGACTCCACGCGGGCCCGGCGCAGCCCCGCCTTCCTCGTCCGCCGCGCTCGGTGCGCAGACTCCGGAGCGCGCGCTGCTGTCGCCGTGAGGCCGCGGCCCACGCCGGGCCCCGTCCCCGCGCCTTCCCCGCACCTTCGGGAGGACCGTGGGGTCCTGGTTAAAACCAGAGCCCTGGAGTGTCAGTGTATCCAAGTTTGAGTTCTGGTCCCCTAACTTCTAGCTCTGTGACCTTGGGCAAGTTATTTAACAAATTGGTATAATGGCACCTCAGTGGTAGGAGTGACTGACACATAGTATTTTTTATTGATTGATTTTAGAGCGAGAGGAAGGGAGAGACAGAAACATCAATGAAGAACATCGATGGCCGCCTCCTGCAGGCCCCCCACTGGGGATCGGGCCACAACCTGGGCACGTGGGGACCTCTTGGTGCAGGGTGGACGCCCAGCCACTGAGCCACACCGGCCGGGCTTATTTTCATTAGTGTAAGTATGTTAAGGTGGCGAGGAATCTGCTCCAATAGGCTTCCAAGTACCACTCAAGAGGAAATCCAGGCTAAATGTAATTACTGTGAGAGCGGAGGCTTCTGGGCTGCAACTTGCCCACGTTTGACAGCGACAGTCCCTAGCTCTCATACAGAACCTTCCCAATGACAAGGACCCGGATCTGTTAGGAGCATAGCAAGAGAGAGGGAGCTAGGCCCTGGCCAGTTTGGCTCAGCGGTTGGAGCATTGGCCTGCGGTCCAGAGGGACCCGGGTTCGTTCTGCTAAGGGCATGTACTTCGGTTGCAGTTTGTCCCCGGCCCTGGTTGGGTCGTGTGGGTGGCAGCCACTCAATGTGTCCCTTTCATGTAGATGTTTCTCGCTCTTTCTCTTCCTCTCTCCCTCCCTCCCACTCTATCTGAACAGAAAAAAAAAAAGGGGAGAGAGGGAGCTAGAAAGATTGCATTCTGATGCCCAAGTTTTGGGGAAAGGTTTTTCTCGTGGGCATTCAAAGCTTTACTTGAATGATCTTATTTAACCTTCACAATCGTCAGATTGTTTTATCAGCCTTATTTTACAGAGGAGAAAAGTGAAGCTTGGAGAGGTTAAGGAAGCTGCCCGACTTCACACAGCCAAACATGACTGACGCTTGGGAGCAGAACCCAGAAAAGTGGGGTGCAAGAGGTAACCCAATATTTCTGGAAAAAAAATTAGATAATAAAATATTTTCTTTATATCTCACATATGTTAAATTTTTGTCACTATTTTAAAGTACTATCAGTCAAGAAGGTATTGTTACACTTTATAAATACACATATCTGGGATACAGGTTCAAAAATAGAGCCCTGGCCGGTTTGGCTCAGCGGTTAAAGCATCGGCCTGCGGTCCGGAGAGACCCGGGTTCGGTTCCCGCTAAGGGCATGTACCTCGGTTGCAGTTTGTCCCTGGCCCTGGTTGGTCGTGCGGGTGGCAGCCACTTGATGTGTCCCTTTCACATCAATGTTTCTCTCTCTCTCTCTCTCCCTCCTGCTCTATCTGAACAAAGAATGAAAAAGTGTCCTCGGGTGAGGATAAAAAAACAAAAATAGAACAGGTCTGGAGACCACCACGCTGAAGCATGAACTGTCAGCCACTGGGCTCTACTGAGTGGTCACAGCACAGACCCAGGAAGGAAAGCCGGCTGGTGAGAAGGCGACACTGGACCAACACAGGGCTTCCCTAGCTGGAGGGCCACGAGGGCACCGCATACGCAACCGGCTGCTAATCACCCCGGTGTCCCTCAGACCGAAAGCCCTGCCACCGCCCTGCTGTCAGCTGACGTCTGAAAGTCGTTCTGCTCTGGCATCAGCAGTGCAGGCGTCTCAGCCCCGCCAGCCCGTTTCTGTTCAGTTCCTCCGCTACCCAGCCTTGGCGAGACAAGACCCAAGCTCATGGCCCAAGCCTGGGCAGTGAAGCAGGATCAGATGCATTTATGAGCGGCGGCCTGCTGTGGGCTTTGCCCTCTCTGCTGTTGCACTGATAAAGCAGACGCAGTCATTATGGACTTGACCTCAAAATGCTCAGAGCTCAGATTCTGACTGGCCTGGGTTTGAAGCCTGCCTCTTAGAAGCTTTGCTTCTTTCTGCAAGTTACCTAACCTCTCTGAGGCCGTTTCCTCATCTTTAAAATGGGGATACTTTTTCCCAGAAAGGGTGTACAGCGGAAACAGACACTTTAAAACTTTCTGTAATATGACAGAAACTACATCTAAAAGCACTTCACAATTGCTAGCTCACTAATCCTCACAAGAACCCTACAAAGCAGCTGCTCTTATTACCCCCGCTTTGCAGACCAGGACACTGAAGCCTGAGGAGCCAGCACTAACGGGCGTCCTCAGTCCTGCCCACAACCAGCACCGACTCTCCTCTCCTCAGCGGAAAACATTCTGAAGAGGCGTGTGCAGACATGTTTAAAAATAAAAATGAAGCCAAGTGTCTCAAACACCACTGCCCTAAATTTAGAGGAGCCATTCCCTGCAGGGTGCCACAGATGTACAAAGGAAACAGGATGTCACAGCACGTCTTACTGAACCAGTAACACGCGCAGCTAGCAGTTCATTGCCCTTCATACTGGGGGTGAGTGTCAAACTGAAGGATCCTTGACCCTATCAGAGCAGGAAGTCCCTTACTCAGCTGGGTTATCCCAGCCTGGCACCTCCTCAATCTTTGCCAGTTCAGAAACTCAGGTTATCGTTTCCAGACAACTGGTTGGAATCTGGAAGACTGCCTCACACCAAACTCACAAGACAGTACTAAACCAGAATGCCACTATTTTTCACTTCACAACGGGAAATGAACCTGACATCAGGGCCCATCTTCCAAGCACAACTATCCCATAGGGAGTCATTCAAGAAGCCAAAGGATCAATCAGGTGGCCTGGTGAACTCAGATCCCCAAGTCAGTTGGAAATACGACTGTGGGCAATCTATTAGGGTAGAACAATTGCTTAGAAGCCTATTCAAAGTGTTGTAAGCTTTTTTTTAAATTTTTTTTTCTTTATTGATATTAGAGGGAAACATTGATTGGCCGCCTCCTGCACACCCCCCACTGGGGATCGCGCCCACAACCTGGGCATGTGCCCTGACCGAGAATCAAACCGGAGACCTCTTGGTGCATGAGTCAGTGCTCAACCACTGAGCCACACCAGCTGGGCAAAGTGCTGTAAGCTCTATAGTTTGAGAGGGAGAGATAGAAACATCGATGTGAGACACATGGATCGGCTGCCTCCTGCCGCTCCCAACTGGGGATTGAGGCCAGAGCCCGAGCACGTGTCCTGCCCAGGAATCGAATGGGGACCTCTCAGCCCATGGGACAACGCTCCATCACACTGGTTGGGCTGGTCTCCAAATTCTTCAAAAACCTTGCTCTTGCTCTCACAGGATCTGAGATACAGGAGTCAGTCCCACATGAGAGGAGTAAAGTGCCAAAGAATGAAATACGGAGAGATGACTGAAAATGACCTCTGGAGACAGATTTTAAAGAGGGAGAAGGCAGAGTCCACACAAGAAATGCTCAAGGGGGAAGCAAGGGTGCAGTAGCACAGGAGCAAAGAGAAGGGGTGAGAAAAGAAATGGCCCGCTGTCCAATGCGACAGAAAGAGAGAGCAGGAAACGAGAACATTTGCCAAGGGTGCACGTTGTGATCGCCGAGAATGGTTTGAGCGGTGAGAGTAGAGGAGTGTGATTACTAAATCCTCTAAGGAGGCAAGTATTCCGAGTTTGCAGCACAAAGCACTGAGGTTTGCCTAGGATTTAATCGACAGGTCTTTCCTGAACCAGTCCGTCAGCCATCAGTGACGCAGACACCAGCAGTCATCAGTGGTTGATGCAGTGCAAAGAGCACTAGCTGGGGAGTCAGGGCCCTGGGCTGCAGAGTGCTGAGTCACACAACTGGTTGAACCCGTTTCTCCATTTGTACTGAGTATTTGGAACTTGAGGATCCAAATACGGTCGTCCCTCCTTTATCGGTTAATCCATTCCAGACTCTAGCGGCCGCACTTGGCATTGAAAACTGCAATAGAGTGAAGCCGCAAAAGTCAAAGTCCAAAGTGGCGAGGGATGACTGTGTAAAGAAAGAATCCTACTTCGCAGACATTCATTCATTGCGGTAGACTCGGGAACTGATTAACCGCAATAACAAGGGCCGCCTGCAGCCCCGACTGGCTCCAACATTTTCCAGATCACAGCTTTTGCATCTGCAGTTTCCTCTGCCTGGAAATTCCTCCCAGCTATTCTCACGTCTTATTCCTCTGCCTCTTTCTCAGCTTTGCCTAAATGCCGAATTACCATCATCTTGTTAAGACTGTCCCCACTACTCTATTTAAAACCCTGCCCTGTCCAGCCAGTGTGGCTCAGTGGCTGAGCATCGACCCTGCCCCCAGAGGTCGCCAGTTCCATTCCGATCAGGGCACATGCCCAGGTTGTGGGCCTGATCCCCAGTGGGGGGCCTGCAGGAGGCGGCCAATCGATGTTCTCTCTCTCATTGATGTTTCTATCTCTCCCTCTCACTTCCTCTCTCTCTCGAATCAAAAAAGGAAAAAAATAAATAAATAAAATAAAGCCCCTGCCCTGCCCGCCCTGGCGCTATCTGCACCCTTCCCTGGTGTGCCGTCCCTCTGCACCACTCATCACCACCTCACACGCTGTTTTCCTTACTGGTTTACTGTCCGTCCTCTACCGCCCCGGGCGTCAGTTTTCCCCAACAGAGTTGAAGCCTCAGGAGAGCAGCGCGTTTGGCTGCCTGCTCAGCGGTGTGCCTGGCACAGAGGACGCACTCACACTCCTGTGAAGGAGTGAACGAAATGCCAGCTCGTCTCCAAATCAGTGGATACACTGCAGAAGGTTCTTCGGGAGGCTGGACTCCACCAGCATACCAAAGGACTGCACTCAGAGGCCAGTGCTATTTGAAAGCCACCACTTTAATGAGAACTTCACCTGTGCTGGACCCCTCCTCAGAGGCCTCCCTCTGCGCTGCAAGCATTTCATACGCCCCGAGTCAACACCTGAGCTCCACCGCAGCTGTCTTCCATGTCCTCACCTGCAGAGCTTCAACCCTCGAGGAGAGCACTGTACGGACGGTCAAGACTTGCTGAAGGGTGGTAGTGACATCCCTCACGGCTCACGTCCAGGTCTCTTCCCAGCTGACTCACACCTCCAGAACAAGGTCAAATGACCCAGCAGCCTTGCACTTCCATCGCAAACTGTGTGAAAGTGTGCCAAGGTCTCTGATTCGGACCAGGTGCCCTCCCACATGGGCAAGGCCTAGTGGGGAGGACGCTCCTAGCCTTTTCCAAAGTAATAAATAGCCCTGCGACCTGAGCAGTGCAGGCGGGCCAGGAGACCATCCACTGCTACCGCTGTGGGGCCAGGCCTGTCTCATAGCCCTCCGTCCTCATGTCATTGAGCCCCAGCTCCTCATTTTGGTCAAATGTGCGCTTATACTTTTCCACCTTCATCTCAGGATCTTCTTCAGGTGCGTACACATTCTGTAAGGTCAAGGACATCATCAGTTCCTGCACCAGCCCACTGCCCACCCCACCCCCCGGCAGCTTCAAGTCCCACTTTCGCAAGAACTCAGTGAGTGTTTTCCTCTCTATGCACCGCCAATTCCCCATGGCGAGGCTCAACTCGTGGGAAGCAACAGAGCCAACACAGGCCGGGAGTGGGACCAACCACCACAGGCAAAATTGGGGAACAGTCCGCCAAAATACTTTCTCTCTGCACCTTATGAAGAGTACAGCAGTACCCCTGGCCAGGTAGCTCACTTGGTTAGAGCGTCTCCCTACTACTCCATCATTGTGGATTCGATCCATTGGTCAGCGCACACACAAGAATCAACTAATGAGTGCATAAATAAATGAAACAACAAATCGATCTCTCTCTCAAATCAATACATTAAAAACTTTTATTGAAAAAGTAAGAGTATGGCAACAGTTGCCCTGCCCGGTTTGGCTCAGCGGTGGTGTCCACCCGTGGACCAGTGAGTCACAGGCTCAATCCCGGTCAAGGGCACGTACCTCAGTTGCAGTTTGTCCCCAGCCCTGGTTGGGGTCGTGTGGGAGGCAACCAGTCAAATGTCCTTCTCAAATCAATGTTTCTCTCTCTCCCTTTCTCTCCCTCCTCCCACTCTACCTGAAGATAAATAGAAAAATATCCTCAGGTGAGGATTAAAAAACAAAGAGTATAGCAATAGTCTTTATCGTGGAAAAGACCTTACAACAGTTTTGCCTGACCCATAATAAGTGCGCAATGAATATGAATGCTACAGTCAATCGCCAGAACATCTCCCCAGTCAGTTGAACGCCTTTCAGTTCTATCTTGGCCTGTGGACAAGGCACCCTTTCTCCTCCCTCCACAATCAGGTCTGCAGAAGAAAACTCCATTGCTGGACTTCCTGGGGACAACTACACTACAGAAAGGAGGAGACCAGAAGTACCTTTGTCCCTTCTTGACATATACTTACAAACCCTCCCACCATCCCCACTTCTTCCCTTAGGTTCTAAATTCTGCTAAGAGGTTTCTTGGTAAGGAACAGTTCATTTAGAACCAAGTCTGCTTCTGGAGAAATGATACATGTTCAAGAAGGGTCAGAAAATATATATCCACAAAACATCAGGGAAGGAATACTGTACCTGCAAGTAGCTGTTTCCTGCTGGATCGTTCAGAATAAAGTGGACCTTCATTTTACCCTCAATGATCTAAAGAGAAGAGAATCCAGTATGTAAATTTTACACAGTAGGAAGCAGCTCTGTCTGCCGGATAAGAACCAAGCCAATTTACAGTGCAGTCTGCCCAAGTTTTGTGAACTGGTGAAACGAGCTACCCCTAAAAGTAGAGTGGAAAGGATCTAAAATAAGAACTGTTTGAAATTATTTAAGAAACAATTTTACATCCCCAATTTCGTCTCCCACTCCAAACAGGCAACAAGTGCCCTTCCTCTACCCCAGCAGAAGGCTGAAGACGCTGTGAAGCTACGACACGCTATGGACGGGGCCCCCAGCCAGCGGAGGGAAGACGGAAGAGAATCACGACAGGAGGTTAAGTGACTGCACCCTAATGGGAAACAGACACACGCACTCTCCCCACTCTCAGCTCTCAGAACACTGCAGACCAGGACGTGGACACCCACTGGGGGGCCCTGACCAGCCTGAGCAAGACGGGACGACTCAACAGAATGGCCAAGCTAACTCCCCTACCACAAGCCCAATGTCAGCAAGGCTCGCCCCTACTCAGGGCTTTTAGTCTTCCACTCTTAGACAATCAATGATTACCAGACATCTGAGCAAAGCCTCTAATATTGAAAGACAAAGAATTACATGGAAAAAAAAACAAAGAACAACTTAGAGGAAATGGAGACCGTACAAGGAAAATAAAGTGCCCAATAAATCCAACATTAATTTTCTCAAGAAGAAAACATACCACATCCTTTTAACAGGATGCTACTTTGTAAGAAAGGCAAAGACCAAAAAAAACTCTTAGAAAATAAAAATATGTTAATGGAAAGGAAAACCTCAATTGAGGATTGGGAAATAAAGTTGAGGTAATCTCATAAAGCAACTGGAAACTGCCCTGGCCAGTCTGGCTCAGCAGATGGAGTGTCGGCCTGCGAACCAGAGAGTCTTGGGTTCGGGTCCCGCTAGGGGCATGTACCAAAAAGAAAAAAAGAAAGAAAGAAACTGAAAACTGGAAAAATGATAAGTAAATTAGAGAAGACTAGAAAGTCAGTCTAATATTTCTAAAACAGTGGTTACAGAAAGGAATTCTCAATAGAATCATTTAAAAAAAATTTTTTTCTCTATTGCTTTTAGAGAGAGAGAAAGGGAGAGGGAGACAGAAACATCGATGACATCGATTGTCCACCTCCTACATGCCCCCCACTGAGGATTGGGCCCACAACCCGGGCATGTGCCCTGACCAGGAATTGAACTGGCGACCTCTTGATACACGGGTCGATGCTTAAGCACTGAGCCACACCGCTGGGCTCAATAGAATCATTTTAAAAAGCCACACGAGTTTCCAGATTCAAAGGCCCCACCACATGTTCAGCAGTGGTTGCAAACTGACCCCATACCAAAGCACACCCTGAAATTTCACAACACAGGAACAAAGAAGCATCACAAGAATAAGTCACATAGAAAAGGTCAGGAATCAAAATGCGTGAAGACTTCACCACAGCCAAACTGGAACATGGAAGACACTAGAGCAATGTCTTTAAATTCCAATGAAAAATTTTATCCTAGAATTCTATTCCCAGCATTGATCCATCTAGTGTGAGGGTAGAATAAAGAAGTTTTCAGACATGCAAGGTCCCAGAAGTCTTACTTCCCCTGCATTTTCTCAGGAAGCGACTGGAGAAGATGCTCCAACAACATTAGGGAGGAACCCAAGAAGACAACGTGATGTGATCGCAAACCAGGAGAGTCCCCAACGCGCTGGTTAAATGTTCCAAGTGGCAAGAAAGGGGATGTAGCCTCTTGTTCACTGGAGCCCCAGGGCAAGTACAGACCAGCCAGAGTCCTCTCACCTGGTCCAACTTCTGGCTGAACTCCTGCAGTTTGTCCATCTGGCCAGGATTGGAACTGTCACCCAGTGTGAAAGGGTTCTTGGTCACCTGCAATAAATGTCATCCAAACTGCTCGTATGCTGGCTCTGTTACAGGTTTGACCACAAACCTGGCGGGGGTGGAATTAAGCCAACTTCTGCTAAACTCCTGCCGGGTATCCAGCCAGGGCAGCTTGGCCTTCACATCCCATGACCACCCTTCTGACCTAGGCAGCCACTCTATGAGGGTACATCTGCCAAGGTGACAACTGGCAATGTGAGACAAACAATAATGTTCTTACGGGTTCCAGCCCCAACTTGAAGAAATGCAAAGTCTAATTTACAAAGACAAACGCCTAACGACTGAGCGAAGGGAAATGATTCACCAGGAAGCTAACGCTATGGGCTGTCAACACACACGTGTATGTTGGGAAGTTTTAGTGATGTCAGGAGCATCACCCTCATTTTACAGTGAAATGAACCACACACAGTATCTTTACACTGTCTCGGAGTTAAATCCTGGGAATTTCCCATAAACTTACCTTCACAATCCAAAATAATATTTAAGTCTCTTAAACTAGCTTTAAGGCAAAGAAACCCCACAGTCAACTCCGAAACCAGGACACGTGCAGCCTTCTACCCCTCCCCCCGCCACACCGCTGAAGCAGCCCGGCACCACTCACCAGGTCCCGGATGTCTTTCAGCAGCCCCTCCAGCGTGGTGAACTTGCCCCCGAGGACAGCCATTCCCAGCTCAAATTCCAGTTCGGGGATTTCCACACTACACGTCTCAGACTGAGAGAAGAGGTCAACGTAAGTTTTACATCAGGAGCTGCTGGAGAAAGCTAGCCAGAGTCCTCCTGCCCAATGAATACCACCAGTGACAGTTTGGGAACAAAACCAACTACCCCAGTTTTCTGGCTTCCCAGTTAAAGCTCGACTCACTCCTATGAACATGAACCCCAGGAGCGGGACCGAGCCGATGAAGGGACTGAGCCATGGCTCCAAGCTCGCAGGCCCCGTCTTCAGAGGCCAGAGACAAGAGCCCTCACAGACACTGCAGGCGAAAAGCTGCCAACTCGTCAGAAATAGCTGAGGTCGCCTTCTGAACCTACACGTAACTCGACTCAGGGAGCCTCCAACCCACACAAGCAAGGAGGTACCGCGCAGCACCCCCAGGACCTGACTGAGATCAGTCACGTGAGGAGGACAGGCACTTTCCCAAGCAAGCCGTTACCTTGAGCAGGTCTCTGGTCATGTCTGCGGGGCCTGTGATGTGCAGACTGATCCGGGTGCCCCAGGGCTCCACCGCTCCTCCCGACTTCACCTGCACAGACCACCGTCATCAGGAGCAGGGAAGACCCTTCCTCACCTGCTGCCCAGGAGACCCCAGGGGGGGCCTGGGCCTCTTCTCAGCCCACTACTGGTGACCGAGCACAGAGCCTAAGTCGACAGCAGCAGCGGTCACCCAGACCAAAAACACTGAGAGCTGGCCAGGAGCACAGTGCCCAGCACCAGTAGCCTGCCAAAGCTAACCCCAAGTTGCCAAGTTGTAAATTCAGTTACGCCTGAATTTACCTTTAAAAAATGATTATTGGGATTGAAACAGACATTCAGCTGCATCCAACGTGTGGATCCCCTTTTTAATAGTCTGGTTTAAGAATTTAACAGATTCAACAGCTGATGCTTGAATACACTCAAGGGAATGGACAGCCCTCCAAGGCAGCCCATTCTGTTTTGACGAACCTAGAAAGTATTACTGAGTCAAAATCTGCCTTCCTGTTCCTTAAAATCAAACTTTAAAATGTCTTAAGAGAGTGTTGTGGTGTACACCAATCTTGGGTTCTATCCCCCATCAAGGTGGGATCCCCAGTCAGGGTGCGTTTGGGAGGCAACCGACTGATGTTTCTCTCTCTCTCCAAAATTAATGGAAACATGTCCTCAGAGGAGGATTAAAATAAATAAAATGTCTTAAATGAGTTATGACATCTCTAGCTTTTTTCCTCTAAGCCAATTCCCAGTTCCTTCAATGGCTCCTCACCCTACACTAAGCCTAAGAGAAAGATCCAACCCCATTGCCCCATCGCAAAGCAGATTTAGGAAGGATACAGGTTAGACAGAGATTATTCCTCTAGCAGCTGGAGTCTAGCTAGTCTTCCCAAACGATGGAGCACACTCACCTCATTGGTCCGATGTCCACAGTACTCGCAGTTGGTAGCCATGATGATAACCTCCTTAAAGTGGGGAATTTCTGGAAGATGGAATTAAGGAAATCTGCTTCCACAATAGCAAGACCACCCTTGGGGGGGAGAACAAATCCAAACCCCAACACAACTGCTGGTCCCAGGACTGCAGGAAACAGATCAGAGGCAGCAGCCTCAGTCCCCCAGAAGAGGGCAAGGTCACAACCCATGGTGACCCCTGTTCACAAGTGTTAGCTGGCATGGCTCAGGCCACACACAGGAGCCCAGAGACTATAGCCTAAACCCCAAACCAGCATCCTCATCACTCGGAATAAAACATGTTTTCCAGGAAGGCAGCACTCTCCAACCTGAAGACAATCTTCACACCTAAATCAGATATGGAAAACCCAACTGCCTGACAAAAGATACGAACTAGCTTCATGTTGGTCTGAGCCGGAGCGTTGCATTCTGGGCAGTTTGTGTTGAACTGCAGCACCTGGAACACAACATGGGCATGCGGGGTGAGCGCCCCCGGCAGGTGGGCTCTGGCAGGCTAGAACTCTACCGGGGTGCTGGCAGTCGCCCGTGTTGGTGGAGAGGAAGAGAGCCATGGAGCAGCATCTAGCTCAGCCCACAACTCTCTTCTCCTTCCTCCACAGTGGCTAACGGGACTCACTTCATTTCTGAGATCTTCCTCTTCCGGCTTCTCTTCCTGTGCCTCTGCCTAAAGTAGCAGAGACGCAAATCACACGTTGCACGTGCATCTCAGCCTCCCCACACCTGCCCTGGAGCGAGGGAAAACGCTGCGGCTCGCTCTGTCAGATGCACTGCCTGAGAGTGACCCAGAAGCTAGAAGCAAAGCCCCAGTCAAGGGGCAAGCAGAGCGCACGACAAGACCAGAGCCACTGCCCTGGCCGGTTTGGCTCAGCAGTTAGAGCGTCGGCCTGCGGTCCGGAGAGACCCGGGTTCGGTTCCCGCTAAGGGCACGTACTTCGGTTGCAGTTTGTCCCCGGCCCTGGTTGGGTCGTGTGGGTGGCAACCACTCGATGTGTCGCTTTCACGTCGATGTTTCTCTCTCTCTCCCTCCCTCTCACTCTATCTGAACAAAATATCGAAAAATGTCCTCGGGTGAGGATAAAAAAAAAAAAAAAGACCAGAGCCACTGCGCCCGCTACTGCAGAGTGTGCCCGGAGTCCCTGACATGAGCAGAGAAGCAGAAGCAGGCTGACACAGTGCGCAGTGCAGCGAAGTGAGTTCCCACTAACTCCTCTTCTGGTTTCTTTGTCCACTTACCTGGAGCCCCAGCATCTCCTCCTGCTGCACAGTCCGGTTATAATGTGTGATCACTAGGGCATCATCTTTCTGGGGAGCGTGTGGGTTTTCCACAAAGCTATTTCCTGAGGGGTCATCAATGATCTAACAGATGGGTGAAGAGTCATTACAAGTCACGTACGATCCTCTGCCTACCATCAGACTACTCAGGCACCACAGAGGAAAAGTCCCAGAGAGTCTCAATGGTTTCTCCTCCCCTAAATTTAGGACATGCAGCCTCCTTCAATGCTCACCAGGGTGAAAGGAGAGGCCACACGCTTTAGCTCTTTCAGTCTGACAATGAACTCATCAATTCTTTCAGCTACGGCTTCTTCCTTTGCCTGACAGGAACCGAGAGTTAAAACATCAGCCCAGGTGATTGACCTTTTGCCGTGACACCCTGACTCCCTGTGGTGCCCGAGTCATTTCCATCAGAAAACCATCCCCTTAGCGTGAGCGGGAACAGAGAGACTCTGACTTCACCATAAGAGATAGCATGTAGTTTGAAGTTCATGGGTGGCGACATAAGAGCCTCATTTTCTCTCATTCTACCTGGCACTTGTGCCATGTTACAGATCAGTCCCCGCACAGGCCCCAGCCAGTGAGGGAGACAAATGACTAAATGTGCAATTACATTATTTCTGTCGTAATGAACATAATAAACAACGGAAGACAGAAAGCACAGCTAAACTCAAGGGGCTAGGAAAAGCTCTCCAGAGGTAATGATACATTGTCTGTCAGCAGTGAGGCCTGAACACACATTGGCAAAGGGAAGGGAAAAGGACAGTGGGTGTTCCATAGGCAACATCCTGGAAGCTACAGCATCGCCATATGCTTCCCCTGAAAGTCTTCCAACATTCAGTCAGAGACAGTTCAGCACCATGGAAAGCTGAACACTCAGACACATGTAAGTAATCATTCCCCGAGCTGCTGCAATCAGAAAACCCCACGCACCCTTCGTGTGGGCTGATCCTGCTCCAGGCCAGAGATAGCGCGGCTGATCAATCCCTCAACAGTGGTCAACGCTGGTAAATAAGAACAAAAGGCAGGTGAGTCTCGGCTCTGCTCCCAAGTGCCTGTCTGGCCCAGGGCAATTCGTCTGAACTCTTTGGGCCTTGAACTTATCTGTAAAATGAGGCCAGGAACAAGGTTCCATTTGGCTCTAACAACAGTGGTGACAAAACTCTATAAATAAATACCATCTCAGGACGTTTCATTTAAGTTCTCTGCTTATATTAAACCAATGAAGCCTTGGCCGGTTTGGCTCAGAGGTTAGAGCGTCAACCCGCGGACCAAAGAGTCGCGGGTTCGATTCCAGTCAAGGGCATGTACCTCGGTTGCGGTTCGTCCCGGCCATGGTGGGGGTCGTGCAGGAGGCAACCAACCAGTCGATGTGCCTCTCTCACATCGATGTTTCTATCTCTCTCTCCCACTCTATCTGAAGATAAATAGGAAAATGTCCTCGAGTGAGGATTAAAAAATAAAATAAACCAATGAAGATCACAATGATTACACTGCCAAACCCATGCACAGACACTAGACCTGGCCCCAGGGTTTTACGATAAAGTCAGATTCCAGCTCAGCATAAACAGCCCAAACACCCTGATCTTAAACTTACCTCCCTTCTGGCTGAAGGCAGGAATTTCAAAATCTAACTCTGGGATCCTTGTGGTGGCAGAGTCAGTCTTCACGACTTCTCTGTTCATGTCCTGGGCAGAAAGAAACACGTGCAGTCCAGACAGGTCAGCAGCACAGCGTGTCCTCAGGAAACAGCAGGCTGTCCGGGTCCACCAGACCCCTGCCCGGCTGTTTCTCCCTCTCCTCTTCCGGGTCCAGGCTACCCCTGCAGAGCAGGACATGGGGGGGAGCCAGGCTGCCCGAATGGTGCCATTTTCCGCATAACCACGACTGCTCATCTGATACCCTCACGGAATGTGCAAAGCACTTTCACAGTCTCACCTGACCAGCTGACAGCACCAACACCATTTTAATTATTTTATTGATTGATTTTAGAGAGAGGGGGGAAGAGACAGGGGGAGAGAGAGAAACAGCGATGAGAAAGAACACGGACTGGCCGCCTCCCGCACGCCCCCGACTGGGGATGGGCCCAAACCCAGGCATGTGCCCTGACCGGGGATCGAACCCGCGACCTCTTGGTGCAGGGTCGACGCTCAACCACGGAGCCACCGGCCGGGCGCACCGACACCACTTGATAAAGGGGAAAACGAGGCCTGCGCACCTAGGGGTACTGACCCCAGGCCGAGCGCCTGGACAGAGCTCAGGCTCCAACCCCAGCCCTGCTCCGGGCCAGAGGGGCCTGCTGCGTCCCCTCACCTCCGGGGCGCGGACGGTCAGCGCGTAGCGCACGCCCTGGTCCTGGATCCTGCCCGCCGACTGGATCTCCGTGTTGTTCCAGCCGCAGTGCTCGCAGGAGAAGGAGCTGACGATCACTTCCCGGAAGAAGGGGATCTTGGTGAGCAGGAGGCGCGTCGTGCCCTGCGGGAGCAGGCAGCTACGGCGAGAGCCACGGAGCCCGGCTTCCCGTCTCACTCCGGGGTGCCTCACTCCGGGGGTGCCTCACCTCGGGACCCCGGCCCGCCCTCGCCCTCCCGCCCACCCGGCCCTCCCGCGGCCGCGCCCCGCCTCACGTTGCGGTAACAGTTCATGCACAGCGACTCGATCTCGGTGGGCTGCTGCTCCTCGTCCTCGGCGCTGATGGGCCGGAACAGGCGGGCCGGGCCGGGCGGCCGGGCCGGGCCGGGCGGGGGGGCGGCAGCGACCCCCGGGGGCCCGGGCTCCACCGCCCCGCTGGCCGACATCGCCACCACGCGCAGCTCGGCCCGCGACTTCCGGCTTCCTCTCCGTCTCCTCCCCTGGCCCCACCCCTTCCTGCGGCACTTCCGCCTGCTGCCGCCCCGCCCTTCCTTAAAGAGGCCGCGGATTCTGGGCCCTTTTTTTAAGGATTTTTTTTTTTTTTTTTTTTTTTATCCTCACCTAAGGACATTTTTTCATTTTTTTTTTTTTTTTACCAGACAGAGTGGGAGGGAGAGAGAAACATCACCGGAAAGGGACACATCGAGTGGTCGCCACCCCCACGACCCAACCAGGGCCCGGGCCAAACTGCAACCAAAATACGTGCCCTTAGCGGGAACCGAACCCAGGTCTCTCTGGACCGCAGGCCGACGATCTAACCGCTGAGCCAAACCGGACAGGGCTTTAAGGATTTTTTTAAATTTATTTTTATTAATTTATTTTTGTTACAGATGTTTCTCCTTTTTCCCCCATTGGCACCCTCCTCCCAATCCCTGCCCGCCCCCCCCCCCCGGGATTTTTTTTAAGAGAAGAGGGAAGGGAGTGGGGGAGAGAGAGAGACACATTGATGGGAGAGAGAGAGACACATTGATGTGAGAGCAAAATATCCATTGGCTGCCTCCTGCAGGCCCCTGCCTGGGATCCAGCCGGCCACAGACATGTGCCCTGAGCGGGAATCCGGCGGGAAACCTCTCCGAGCCGGGGCTGCTGACACACTGAGCACACCCGCCAGCCAGCTCTGGGCCCTCAAAGAGCAGTTCAGCGTTTCCCTGTTGCAGGGATTATGGGATCCGAACTTCCCTAGCCGGATTCAGGCTTCACCTCCACCTCCATTTAGGCATCACTTCCCCCAGAACGTCCTCCCTGACCCAGGGCAGGGCTTTGTCCCTCCCCAGTACCTCCATTGCACAGGGTTCTGACTACTGGCCATAAAAGTCTGGCTACCCGAGCCTGGCCGGCAGGAGGCCTGGCCCGGTGACCCTGGGAGAGTGCGCTCTGACCTGGCTTCCTTCCGTCCACCGCTGGACCAGGCGCTGCTCCGGCTCTAGTCCCTCAGTCCCTCGATCACCCTCCCCTTCTGTGTCCTCATCCCTATGTCTGTCCTCACAAACACCTGTCCACATGCCAGCCTCAAACACAGCCTCAGTTTTACCTCCCCCCTCCATTCCCACCACACCCGACCCCCAATGACCTCCCCTCCCGGTTTCCTAACAGCAAAAACACCTTTTTTGGGGGCGGGTAACATTTCCTTTCCAGCCCCTCCTCTCCCTGGGTACCTCTCTCACAGTTCTGTTGCTAAATCTAGGCGGTCAGGGTAGAGACCCAGCCCCCCTGCATGACGAAGGCAGAATTATGTGGGGTCTGTGTGAAGAGGGAGTGTGGCGGTGCTGAGAACCCTGTGCGGGGCGGGCTGAGCTGGGAGGAAAGGGTGCTGGACAAGACATTCGAAGGGTGCTACCCCCAATTTCAGAGTTCTCAGAGGATCTATGAGGAGCTTCATTGCCCCCAAGAGAATCTGCATGGAGGGACTGGGGGCTTAAGAGTTTGGAGGTCCCAAGAAAAGGGTCAGTGTCATAAAAAGGGGCCATTCAAAATCTGGGACAGCAGGAACAAAGGGGCGAAGTCACCTCGGGAGCCTGCATTTCGTGCGCACTGGCCTGTGATGAGCAGGCCCATGAACAGTCAGGTGCAGAGGAGGGGTCTCTAACCCACGCCCACACCCAGACAGCTCTCATCTAAAGCAGAGCACAGCCAGAGCCAGGCCCCTCTGACAGGTCTGGACTGAAAGGGGGTCGATGCGAAAGTACAGCGAGGGCCTGGAGCAGCAGATGGACATGATTTGGGGATAGTGGTGAGGTCACTACTTTCAGACATGGTCCAAATGAGAGTCACACCAGGCGGATAAGCTTCCGTTGTAAGTATCTATTTCATTCCGATCAGAAATCTAGACTTTAACCTGAGAGGCAGGAGGGAGGGGACAGAGGTGGGAGGGCATACAGTATACCCCCAGAGTGTTTGAGAAGCGCCCCCCCCCCTCCCCGTTTGGAGGGCTTGGTCGGCTGTGCAAATGTAGAGCTATGTAAGAAAAGATGGGCTCTGCTCCCTCCATCACCACTCCCACCATTTGTACCCACCAGCATCAGAGCCAGCAGGGACACACACACACACAATCACATGCTCTCCTGGTCACCTTTTCCTCCTTTCTCCCCTCTCCTCCCCCAAAAGAAGCTGTCATAGCAGCCCTGGGAGATAAGGCCCTGCTCTCTGTGGACCAGCTGTAGTAGTGGCCGCCAGGGGGCCAGGAGTGATCAGAGTCAAGCCCTGGCATTAAGAGACACAGCTTGCAGCACCATGGCAGCAGGCTTGGCACATGAGTACCGCGCTCATAGAGTGCCTTTCTCCCTTCCCACGCCCGCCATCACGGAATGGAGCAACTCGTGAGGATTCCCAAATGAGCACCGGAAGCCAGGTCCGCAAATCCTGGTGAATGTGTAATGCATCCGGATTGGGGAATCGCAGGAGGCTGGATCTGCGAGGGACAACAGCCCCTTCGGTGGCCTCACCTGTCCTGTGCAGGGCCCTCCACCCTCTGCCCAGTAAAGACTGAGCCAAACTTGGGGCTCCCAAAACAAGGAGCTGGGAAGTGGGCCGGGCAAGTAGACCCTCAGGGCTCCCCTAGACGGCGGGATCGTGGTCCCGAAGGCTGTGGTTTATGTCTTCCCACAGGTCGTCGAGGCGGGTCTGCAGCTTGCTGCGGGCCTTGCCGCTGTCCGCCTGGAGGAGCTCGGGGGCGAAGGCGCTGTGGCTGGGCGGCGGCGGCGCCAGCTGCTGCTGGACCTCTTCGGTCTCCTGGTCAATGGCGCGCGTGAAGGCGGCGATCTGCAGAAAGGTGTCGTGGCGAAAGGCCTGGAGTCGCTGGCGCACCTCCTGGGACAGCACCTGGGGGTCCGTGTCGGCCCCTTCCTCCGCGCTGGCCGCGCGGGAGCGGGCGAAGGCGCTGAGCTCTTCCCGCAGGTGGTCCAAGTTCTGTTGGATGCCCGCGTGCAGGGCCCTGGCCTTGAGCGTGAGCTTGTGCGAAAGCATGTGCACGCAGCGGCTGAGGCGCGCGGGGCTGGCGACGGCGTGCGGCGCCACGCTGCGGTGCAGCTCCTGCACGTGGTGCCCGATGCCCGCCACCAGGCGCTCCGCGTGCGGGTGGAACAGCGCCTTGACGCGGCCGGTGTGGTGCACTATGCGGTCCTGCAGCTCCCGCAGCAGGCCCCGCGCCTCGTCCATGCCCCCCAGCAGCTGCGCCCTTGTGTCCTCTCCCACCACGCGCAGCTGCTCCTGCAGCTCCTGCACGCGCAGCACCACCTGCTCCATCAGGTCGGTGGCGTAGGGCTTCAGCTGCTGCCGCAGCCCCTCCAGGGTCCAGCCCACGCGCCGGTGCGCCTCGGCCATGTAGGGCTCCAGGCGCGCCCTCACCTCCTCCAGCTCCTCCTGCAGCTGCTGCCGCAGTCCCTCCGAGTCGGGTGGGGGCCTGGGAGGCTCCCTCCCCTGCCCACTCAGAGGGCCCAGCTTCTCCAGGAACTTGTCCATATTGCTGAGGTTTTGCTCGAGGCTGTCTTTCAGGTTCCTGGAGGAGTCAGACACCCAGGCGGTCAGACTGCTGGCCCCCGTCGTCTGCTCTCCCCGCAGACATCGCTCACTGATATTCTGAGGAAGCCAAGGGCGCAGGGCGGTGGTCCCAGAGCTGGGGTTCTACCTAGTCCTAGCCTCGGGCCATCGGACCTCCTCACGCAGTAAGTACAAAACTTGGCACATGCAAATCCAGACCAACACCGCCCAAGGGAGCACAGATCCGCCTGGACTCACACCATCCCTTTCCTCTGGGGGTGCAGTGGGGGGCTCTACGCTGCTCCCAGGTCCCACGCCTCAGCGGGCAAGGGGTAGCAGCTATAGCAGGTCAAAGTGGGTGGGGGACTGCTGCCGGCAGAGGGAGCAGAACTGGCACCTCTCGGTCCCTGTGTCCCAGTGCAGACCGCGGAGGTTGAAGTATCAGAGGCAGCGCATCATCCCACGGCCTGTTCCTCCCTTCACCCCCCCATCCCACCCCACCCCCCGCCACTCACGTGGACTCCCGCGCCAGCTTTTGCTGCTGGGTCTGCTCCACCCTGCCTTTGTCCCTACTGCTCTGACTGAAGTCCTCCCAGAAGCCTTTCCATGCCTGGGTGGGTGAAAACGCTGTGGAGAGGCAGCCGGTGGTTAGCGGCGGGGCTTCTCCCCAGGGTGGGCGGCCCCTAGCCCAGCCTCCACCCTCACCTCCACCGTGGAGTCAGGGCTGGGGACCCACCTGAGAGGAGCGTCAGAGCCCAGGTCAGAACTGCGGCCGTGCTCGCCATTGCCGACTCTGAGGAGGAGAGCCGGCGGAGGCCTGGCGGAGGTGAAGGAGCAAAGAAAGGGACATCTCTCAGGGGCCCCTCCAGGGACAACCTGCCCAAACCCTGTGAACCCTTCCCTGGGGTGTAGGGAGCACACAGCTGTTGGGGCTCTCGAGGACGGACCTAGGGGAGTGTGGCTGGGGAGAAAAGGGTGCCTTCCTGTGGGAGGGGGCTCCTTGTTCACCTCAATCACATAACATGGAGTGTGGAGCTCAAACTGCTTTGTAGTGGTCCCCCCCCCCCCACCACCGTCCCAGACTCCAGGAGAGCTCCCGAGGCCACTGAGGCCCCACCCCCTCATCCCCCTATCTTCCTGCCTCCCATTTCCTGGCTGGGGAAACAGATATCCCAAGGGGAGGAAGGGACTCTGTCAAAGTGCCCCATGAGGATGTTCTTCGTTTCCCCCCAGCTCTCTGCTGAGACCCCTGCAACCTCCTCCCTTAGGACTCTGGCCCAAATCCCTCTGCCCCAGTGGCTCACCTGCTCAGTTCTGGGCACAGAGAGCAGACATGCGGCTTTATATTCCGGGGCCCGGGCCTCTGGCAACGCTTCCTTTGAGTAAATACCACGTGGAGGTTCAGAGAAGCCTGACCTCAGCGGCCTCCAGTGCCCACCTCCTGCCCTTCCCAGGCACCCACAGGCTTAATGAGCGCCCTCCTATCGGGGGCTGTCCCAGTAGAAGAGGGTTCCTGGAAAGTTTTACAAGGAGTGGGGCCGAATTCTTCACCCACTTCACCCCAAGCCCCATGACCTTCAACCTTCCCACTCAGCTGCTAGCTGGCCTAGCAACAGATACAAACCTGTTTGTCTGCTGAGGGCCCACTCTTACTCAACTGCCCGGAGGCCCTGTGCCCAACCAGACAGGGACGGTGGCCAGCTGCCAGCTTGACCCTGCAGCTCCTGATGATAGCTCCATTGCAGGCCACTCAGGCGGATGGGAGAGTCAGCATTTAGAGGGCTAAAGACCCTCCCACCCCCCTCTCAGGGTATAGTCCTGGAATAAGCAGACGTCAGATGGGGTGAAGAGGGGGTGTCTAGAGGCAGAATCTGCACCAGGGACTCTGGGCCCAAAGAATTGGGGCAAGAGGAGGATTCTCCTTGTGGGGATAGGCTGAATGTCACCAGACGCTTCTCTGATGACATGCCCACTCCATATTTAAACACACACGTGTATAAACTCCTGATTTTTGCCCCTAAATGAGCCTTGTCCCCTCTCCCAATTTCCACCACCAGCCACATCACAGCCCCACTTGTCTCTCAGCTGGATCACATTCATAGTCTCCAGTGGGTGTGTCTGTTCAGTCTGTCCTCTGCGGTGGCTCATCCCAGCCCACTTCCAGCCTCGTCCTGCCACACGAAGCCCTTGAGGTCCCCGAGCACGCTGCCTCTCGGAGCGCGGAGCTGTGCACATGCTGGTCCTCTGTGAGACAGTCGGTTCCTTGGTGAACTTATATTCCTTTCTCTTCAGACTTAGTTTGTATTAGAATTAGGCTCAACAACAAGTAACAAGAAAGGGAGGTGGGGTGGGAAAGAACAGCCTGAACAAAATGGCATTTTACTTCGCGTGTAAACATAGGCCAACCAGGGCTCCTCGGTGTTGTCGCACTGTTGTCTTTAACAAGAGGGTCATGTCCAAGGTTCAGCTGCTCCAGCTCCAGCCATCAAGTCTACCTGCCAGCCAGCAGGAAGAAGGCAAAGAAGCACGTGTTGACTCCCTTTATTTTTATATTTTGTTAATCCTCACCCAAAGATATTCTTTCCATTGCTTTCAGAGTAGAAGGGAGGAGGGGGACAGAGAGAGAAACATTGAAGTGAGAGAGAGACATCAACTGGTTGCTTCCTGCACACACCCCAGCCAGAGCCAGGATGGAACCTGCAACCCAGGTGTGTGCCCTTGAATGGGAATCTAGCCCGTGACCCTTTGGTCCAAGGCCGATGCTCTAACTGCGGAGCCACATCGGCCAGGGCATGTTCACTCCCTTTGAAGACCCATCCCAGAAATTTTTCTGACCACTTTTAATGACATCCCATTGGCCAGAACATAGTCACATGGCCACACTTCGCTGGAAAAAGGGGTGGAAGACGTAGTCTTCATTCTGGATGACTATTATCCTAGCCTGACCAGAGCTGTGTTACTCAGGAAGAAGGACAGATGCGCGGGGACAGCAGTGGGCTGTGCTGCCAGCTCGGGTATCCCCCTGAGCACCCTCTGCTACTTTCCCACGCTCTGCTCGGCACAGACGGGTTCCATTCTCATTAGTCTTCTTTCTAGTTCCGTTGGGACCACATGGCTCCGATCATTCCGTGAGCTGCGTATCTGTAGCCACTTACAGGTGAGTTTTTGAGAACCAGTCCTCCAAGGACAAGCTGAGCTGTTACTCCTCCAGCTCTTCCCCTGTTATGAACCTTTACTCTTCTACATCCAAGCCTTGCACACTTGAAATAAAGAGTGGCTCCTGTTTCTCTCACTGAACCTAGACTAATGCAGTAGGTAAACGCAGCACACACTCCTGCTTCTCTAGCGGATGACATCTTCTAGTTTTATTTCTTGTTGTTTTTTTTAATCGTTATTGTTGAATGTATTGCAGATGTTCCTAATTTTTTCCCATTGACCCCCTCCTCCCCACTCCCTCCCTTCTCCCGCCTTTTCCCACACTACTGTCTGTGTCCGCTGGTTATGCATATAAGTTTGGTTTATTTCTTCCCACCCCCCAACCCTTTGAGGTTTGTCAGTCTAGCAATGAATTTGTACTTCTTAATCCCTTCACCTTTTTCACCCATTCCCCCAACCCCCCTCCCATCTGGCAACCAACAAAATGTTCTCTGTATCTATGAAAATGTTTCTGCTCTGCCTGTTCATTTTGTTTGTAGATTCAATTGTCGGTAGATACGTGTTCATTTACATTTTGTTTGTTCATATAGTTTCTATTTTTCTTCAAAAAGACCCTTCATCATTTCATATAATAACGGTTTGGTGGTGATGAACTCCTTTAACTTTTTCTTGTCTGGGAAACTCTTTATATGGCCATAGATTCTAAATGACAGCTTTGCAGGATAGAGTCATCTTGGTTGTAGGTTCTTGCTTTTCATTACTCTGAATATTTCTTGCCACTCCCTTCTGGCCTGCAAAGTTTCTTTTGAGAAATCAGCTGACAGCCTTATGGGAACTCCCTTGTAGGTAACTAGCTGCTTTGCTCTTGCTGCTTTTAAGATTCTGTCTTGAACCTTTTGCATTTTGATAATGATGTGTTTTGGTGTGGGCCTCTTGGGGTTCATCTTGTTTGGGACTCTCTGTGCTTCCTGGACTTGTATGTCTGTTTCCTTCACCAAGTTAGGAAAGTTTTCTGCCATTATTATTTCAAACAGGTTTTCAATTTTTTGTTCTCTCTCTTCTCCTTCTGGCATCCCCAAGATGTGAATGTTGGCACGCTTGAAGTTGTCCCAGAGGCTCCTTTTTTTTAATTCTTTTTTCTTTTTGCTGTTCTGATTGGGCATTTTGTGCTTCCTTATATTCCAAACCAATGGTTTGCTCCTTGGATTTACGTACTCTACTATTGAAGCTGTGTAAATTATTCTTTATTTCAGTTAATGCCTCCTTCATTTCTGATTGTGCATCCATCATTTCTGACTGGTCCTTTTTTATGCTCTTGAGGCCCTCACTAAGTTCAGTGAGCATCCTTATAAGCAGTATTTTGAACTCAGCATCTGTTAGGTTGCTTATCTCCATTTCGCTTAGTTCTTTTCCTGGGGTTTTGTTCTGTTCTTTCATTTGGGACCTGTTTCTTTGTCTCCTCATTTTGGCTGCCTCCCTGTGTTTGTTTCTGTGTATTACTTAACGAGAGGTATGGGGTTAGCTGAGACCAGATGCTGCTTGTTTGAAAGAATTTAGGAAAAACCTGAAGCAGGATCCAAGACAGGCCAATCCTATGGTTAAGCAAGTGGCAACAGCTTGGGTGGGCCTGAAAGTTGGGTGGGGCAGGGCCTCAGGGAATCACCAGGGCGGGGCTACCAGTGTGAGCCAGGTTGCTGGAGTCCCAGATATGGCTTCTGTCTGCCGCCCCAGGGAAGGGCTCACCAAAGGAACAAAGGCCTCTGACAGCACATTTGTCCCTGAGAAAGCCCCCTCTCCAGCCCTCGCTCCAGTGCCAAACAGCTCAGTTCTTCCCTGTATGTCTTTGGCGCCCCTTGAGCTGCCTCCCCTCCAAGCTTAGAGGGAGAGAGTCCGATAAGTCCGTGCGTGGGCCCTTTAAGGAGCTGCCTGGGGCTCCAGCTGCCTCAGCCTCCCTGAGCCTCAGTTCCCGCTGGTTTTTCCAGCCAGAAGTGATGGGGACTCTCTTCCTGGCACTGGCACCTTGAGCAGGACGTCTGGTGTGGGATGTGGGACCCCTCAGTCCTCAGGGAGAACCTTCCCAGCCGAGGTATTATCCACCACACGTGGGTGTGGGACCAGCCCCTCCGCCTCCGCCCCTCCTACCAGTCTTGGTGCAGCTGCTGCTTTAATTCCGTAGTTGTAGGACTTCCATTCAGCTCGATTTCAGGCAGTTTTGAATGATGGTTGTTCTGTAATTGTAGTTTAGTTGTAACTTTGATGTGGTTGTGGGAGAATGCGATACCGCGTTTTCCTACCTATTTCTTGTTGTTTTTAAATCACTTTTTATTTTTTCAACTACAGTTGACATAGCATTATATTAGTTATATAGATCCTCACTAAGGGTCTGAAAAGGACACAGCACCCCAGAGAAGTGGGGTACAAGTAGACTGGGAAGCAACACACAATAAAATGAGTAAGTGTTTAGATAAATTGAAAATGCATTCGTAATTTTACATGCATTTATAAATAGGTGTATATACATATTTAAGCACACATCTATTTAAACCACATAGATTAGCTTTTTTATAACTAAAACTTGGTCCAATGTTGGCAATTTCGTATAGTTCGACCTAATAAAATGTTTTTATAT